ATAATAATCAAGAAAAAAATACCCATTCATTGAAATTTATTCACGGGCAGTATTTTTGCGATAATTTTATTTTGCACTGTGATGTTATTTGGTTCACAAGCATGGTCATCATTGTCGCTCGTTCCCCCTGGGTGAGGTGCGAATTCCACGCAGAACTGCCGCTCGTGCTCATTTTGTAGTCATAAACAAAGGTGCTGGACAGTTCTTTCTGAGCTCAGATACGAGGTAGCGTCCAATCTCAATATTTTTTTCCTGAGTTGGAAGCAACGAACATCAGTAAAAGTCGTTGAAAATGCATGGCAATACTTCAAAATGTATGCAGCAGGAGTTTGAGCCAAAACTGCTAAGGGATATTTTAAAACTGTCGACGAACAAGTCATTCTACTTCAGAGCAAGGTTTGGAGCAATTTATAGTGCTTCTAAAACTAAAAAGTACCTTTCAAAGAACAGCACGATAGGCAATCGGCTTTTGTTTTAAGAATTGGCAAGCGTTGAATTTACTTGTCCCGAAAATTCAAACTGGTGGCTCCTTCTACCTGATAGTAATTTATTTTTAAAATTCCAAAGCAATTTCACAGCTGAATTTTGAACGACTTTTAGTTACGGACTTCTGCTGCAACGATTTTTCTGAAATTCCTCTGGCACATTTATTAAAACCGATACCAGAAATTTCAGTAAAAAATATCAGCAAAATTTTTTACTAGACGCGATTTTCTTTGAACAGTAGGGTCCTTTTAAGCACTAATTTCTCAAGAAATATTTACCGTCAGTGAAATCGGAATATTTTGTGTTATTGTCGAATGATATCTGTTGTTCTTTGCTAAGTTTCGCAGCCATCGCGTTAAAAACCAAAAATTTATGACGGAAAATTTGTCACAGTTAAATGCTCTTGTATTAATTACGGAGCCACCTTAACACGGCCGAAATATAGGTGAGAGACGAAAAACATATTGTTTTACTCTTCACTTGTGGTACTGTATTTATTGAGTCGTGAAGGGAGTGTCTTCTAAAAGATGCTTGTGATAGGTTATATATATATATATATATATGCTTTACTTTTTACTGAAGTTTAACCTGCCTACTAACTTCTATTTCTTTGCTACTGACATAGCGACAATCGAAAGAGACCTAAAAATAGTATTTGGATTTGTTCACTCTACGGAAGTTCATAAAAGCCACATTTGTGTCAAATGAAATATGCGAAAGATTCAAATGCTCTATTTAAATTCCTTTGAAATTTAGTTTAAATTATGTGATTACAACATTTTTTCCTTGACAAAAAGGTGAAAATAGTCTTATTTTACATTTAAATGCAAGAATTTATGTTCCTGTTGTCTACATTGATCACAAAGCGTTCTACGCAGGTTAAATATCTTTCTATCTTTAGATTCTTAGCGCTGGTCATCGTTTGCAACCCAAGCGCAAGTACAGAAAACGAAAGCAAAAGGAAAAAGCAGTCAACGGTGTGTGAGAACTCTGCATATCAGCAAAACGACTGGGGTCAGTGGGTGTGAGTTCAAATATATGTTTCTTTTTCTAAAGTTTAAACTCCTTCCTTATCTGTAGTTTTTTTTCCATTGACACAACGACAAGAAACGTAAACAAATAGCATTTGGTTTTGTCTCGTCCATGACAGTTCATAAAAACTACGTTTGCGTCAAATTAAAAGTGTGAAAAATGCAAATGCTCTACTTAGTTTCAACAGAAATTTAGTTCACATCATGTGAATTCTGCGTAAAAAAAAGTTTAAAATAGTCACCGTATATCACTTTTGCGATTCGTACGGTCCGCACGGCTCGACAAACCATATATGACCTCTCTTGCCATGAAAATATTCTAAGTTCCACTAATGAAATGCAATTTACGGACCGTAAAAAGTTCTTTACGGACCGTTTATCACTTTTGCGATCCGTACGGTCCGTACGGATCGACAAACCGTATATGACCTCTCTTGCCATGAAAATAGTAAGTCCCACTAAGAGATGCAGTTCAGAACGGACTGTAAAAAGGTTCTTTACGGACCGTATATCACTTTTGCGATCCGCACGGTCCGTACGGATCGGCAAACCGTGTATGACCTCTAATGAGATGCAATTTACGGATCCCATATCACTTTTGCGATCCGTACGGTCTGTACGGATCGACAAACCGTATATGTCCACTCTTGCCATGAAAATATTCCCCACTAATGAAATGCAGTTTACGGACCGTAAACGGCCCTTTACGGACTGTATGCCATATTTAAATCGTTGCGGTCCGTACGGATCGTGACACGGATAATACGGACCGTTACAGTGCGGGTATATTGGAGAACCCTCGGTCAATGTACAGGAATGGCTCTGATCTGCATAAAGAGAGACTTGTCACATGATGGTGTGTGGTTTGGGGGGTGGGGTCAGGCGATTATGACCAGATGATATAAATAAAAAACCAAAGAGCTTCACGGAAAAAAATGTCAAAATCAACTTAAATAAGAAAGTCGATAAAGGAACTAGACTTGTTGAGGCCTCTACTTGTTTGATCATTACTGATTACTTATCTGACTGTCGCTGGTGATTACCAACGTGTTATGGGGTTGTTTTTAAATGATCTGTTTAAAAGTTTTTGTACCGGGTTGTTGGTGGAAGGAGGGGTAGGGGGGGTTCTGACGCGATTATAATCAGAGGGTACATCATCATCATCATCCTCTTTATTTAAAAACACGGTAAATACATCAGGCATTAACAGTTTAATATAAAGCTACAACTTAATAGCGAGGCTCCCTCGCGCGCGAAGTGGGACAGAGCCCCATACTCATAGAATATGGTCAACCTCTTTTCGTTTGGTTGTCACGTGACTGCCCGAGCGTACGTACGCGTCTACAGATTGTACGGGTAGGGTAGGGGAGACTATCAAAAGGAAGGGAGGGGTGTCTCAGGCGTGTCTTGGCAAATCTACATCTTTTACATTGACCATTCACAATATGGTCAATTGACAGCTGTCAAAACAGGATAGCCACTGACCAGTATCACATTGCCATATGGAGGGCTCATGTGTCAAGGTGACGTGATTTATTTCGAAGCTGTCCGCTGACCAGTTGTTTTACTAGATCGCGATCAATGTTCAATCTCATACTTTCTAGCTAGTTTGAGAGCCCAGGAAAACTGATGATGCACACATCCATTGGACATCAATGTTGTAATCAATCGACAGCTGTTAAAACAGGGTATCCGCTGACCAGTATCACTTGACCGTATCGCGGGCTCAGGTGTTGACCCATTGAGGTCAAGTATTTTTTGAAGTTATCCGCTGACAAGTTACTAGTTTTCAAATGATCGCAGGCTTAAGTTTGATTTTTTTTAATTCGATCATATGAAATATCTTTTGTTTTTGTGCTGCACAATTAAAATTTTGATTTAAAACTGACCTCGGACCCGAAAATTCAGCCAGCTATTACAGGCAGGGAAGACAGTTGCTTTTGACTTTGCTCACCATGGTCACGCGTTGGTCACACTCTACGTCAATTTTTATGCTCTGATTGGTCAAAATTTGACAGGTGAGCTCATGCGGAAAATTTACGCAGCATCTTGAATCTTGTTTACTTTGACAGCTGAAGCTGACAGAGTTTTGGGTCAACTTGTGACGTTTTTAACTGTCTTTTTCCACTGGATGAACAAAATGAAAGTCAGCCGCTATCAGGAGTCTTCTGTTATTCATGGCTAGTTGGTTTTTGGTTGAGAAATTAATACATCACTTGTCAAAGTCGGAAATCCGATTTCGGAAGGTATCGTTTTCGTTCAGTCACCTTGCTTGATGCGTGAGGGTTGAAAAGTCTGAAGCGATACTGGCCTTCCTTGATACCTTTCAGAAGCTACATCTCGAATAGTAAGCCTCAGTAATTATTGTGGTTGATGTTTGTTTTTTATATCTAACTTAATGAAGTCGAGCGTAGTTTATGCTCGTTTGTAAGATTTGAGACAATTTGATCTGACCAAGAATCAGATTTGATATAAGCTTACACAACTTTAAAAAGCGTTTAGACATTTTCAAACCGCAAATAGAAAGAAAACGTTCCAAAGAACATTTAGTTATAATTCTGGCTGTAAAAGAAAGCTTTGAGAGATTTTCTTGCTTCGAGTTCATCTTTGAAAAAAGTAAATACCGGAAGCCAGCTTAAAACATAATGAGGAAACATAAACGTAAGCTTTAAGCTTGAAGACTCGGGATTTTTAGAGACAATTTAATACTTGTTCTTCGTGAATGAAAAATGTTGTCTCTGTATATGTCTCACTGAATTATATTTCTTTTATTGATTGTTGGTAGTCTCTCTTATAATTTTAATCGCTGTGCCGTTTGTTTTCAGTCATTCAGTGAACATCGCGTGCAGGAGCATTCAAAATGCCGCGCGTATCAAACGCCACAGTCATGGCATCCTCTAAAAGCACGGAATTCATGGTAAGCGAGGACGCAGGAACTAAGTTTGGCGAGGGTAAAAAACACCGAATTATCACTATCGCTCTGCTGGTTGTAGCTTTGATCGTCCTCATTGTTGGAATCGTGTTGATTGTAGTCGCGGCAACCAAAAAGGATGATAAATCAACTTCGACTTCATCAACCATGGAACCTCAAAAGAACAGCGTTCCCTCAACCAAGGAACCTCAAAACAACAGTGTTCCCTCAGAGCCTGGTTCCACTCCAACAGTCCCCGTCACGAAGGCACCTTCCAGTGGGTGTGATTTTTCAGAAGAAGCTCAAAATGCAGGTCTTCCTGAATTTCTTAGTCACGTTAAATCAACTTACTTCAAGCTGCATCCTTATGATGTTGTATCCGATCCAGACGTCACTCCGGTCGAGTAAAAACAGAATACGTCGCCTACGATCCTACGCCGGCCGTGATCAAAAACCGCACGGACACCGCTCTGGCGTTGCTGAACGAGATTAGCGACAAGAACATTAACACAAACAGGTTGAAGCCCAGAGAGAGGAAGGCGTTGGCACAAGTAAAGCATTATCTTCAACACATGTTCGGTCAGCCTTACGATGTCAACTACTACGCCGGAGATTGGATGATGGGCCCGAATTTGTTCTGTTGGCAGGAAATCTGTGCACATGGTTACGGTGTCTACAATGGAATAGGACGGCATCACAAGCCGTACAACGCCGATGATGTAAAACTCATAGAAAGCAAGCTGAAAACTCACAAAGCAGGAATTCTGCAGTATATTGAAAACATGAAGATGGGTGTTCGAAGGGGAATGATCCGAAGTACGGAAGAGTGCTTAGCAGGTCTCAACTCGATCAAGAGGCGATACTTGAATACTTCTCTTTATAATGAGACAGGTGAGGTGGTTTACCCTTCTTTGAGTTGTCCATTTATGATATTTATTGGTGCACATTTTTAGACTTTCGCTGAGATTTCTTTGATCGATTCTTATTCTGTTCAATGATTTCAAAACTATTTTCCTTTTTGCCGGCGTCGTAGACGCTCTTAACCTTCTGTATAGAGCTATACAAATGGTTTAGGCGAGTGCGTGGGCCGACTGCAACGCAGCCTTTTTCTTCTTTCTACTTTCTTGAGGTTATCAGTTGGCATGCAGCGCATAGGACCATTTTCACATTTTCAGGACCATTTTCACAATATCATTTTCACCGTCACGCAACAAAAATAATTAACCGTCCAGTGGAAGAAGCCAAGAAAATGAGATGTTATAAAAGACTAATTTATAAACAATTTGTCCAAGTCTCAGGTCTTTGTGGCCCATAGTTTCTGAGTTATTTGCTGAAACGTTGTATGGAGACGCCATATTGGTGTACCGTTTTGGTACCGCAATATGGCCGCCGGAAATCAGCAAAAACATCTGGAGTTCACTTTTTCTATAAAAGCTCTTTCTTTTCACTCCAGAACAAGCACACGTGAGCATAAACATACCTTCTAATACTTGAAATGGTTACACTGCTGAAAATCAAGAGGAGAGACTTGTTTTCAACGAGACAGCATTCCTATTTTGGTGTCACGCACTGTGAAAACTCGGAAGTTCAAATTGCTGTTAAAATATATAGAATTATTTACTAGCGAATCTTTGTTTCGTTCATTTTGCTGTTTCTAATAAGAGTAATCTTAATAATTTTCCAAAGTGGTTTGAAAGCAAGGCTGGAACTTTTGTCCGCCTTTGGGTTTTTGTTTTCTTCGTCTATAACGTTGTAGTTGAATGGTGAAGAACACTTGATAGCAGCTAGATTGTCCACTATTGGTCTTGTTTTTTTTTCGGAAAAGTCTTTCGGTTCACGGTTTGGGTAAATGTTACAAATGGCAAAATTACTGTTTAGTTCAGGACTCAACTGGACACTGTTTAACATTTAGCCCATTTACCGAAAACGGTCGCGAAATCCTGAAGGTGGTATCAAAGTTGAGATGAGATGTGATATGATTATGGAAACTAAATTTTTCGGTACTTTAGCCGAAAATTCCGAACGGGAAAACAGGACTGCTTTAATTTTCAGTCCTTCTATTTCTCCGCGAAATCTTCCTCTGGAATGAACTAAAAACCCGTGCCCCATTGCATAAATCAGTCCCAGTTAATTAATCCTCCATCTGTGTCCCCAATATCATCATCTTTCCTCTTCGAGAAGTTCCCCTTACCGCCAGCAGCAATTGGTCAGCGAGATGTTTTGCGGTTTCTTTTGACCATTCACTATTGGAGGCGAAACCTTTCGCTCCTGTTTTTGGAAACAGTAGATGTATTTGTTATTTAGTCGAACCTCCATTTGCAACCACCTCCCAAACCCGACCACCGATCCAACACTCCCAAGATTTTTCCGCTTGAAGCCTCATGATTGAAAACTCTCGTAAACGACCACCTCTCATAGACGACCGTGATCACTTCCTCTCGACTTCTTGGGGTGACGCTTTTATAATTTCCGTTGTTTTTAACCTCCTGTAAGCGACTACTTAATTAACATATAGTCTCATCTCTATGAACATTGCATCTAGTATCCACTACGCCTAGTCCCGCCAAACTCAAAGTGTATGGAGAACGTTTAGTAACAGTATGGAACTACACATATCGTAACATGGAAATTGCATGCATCAAATTCTCTTCCAGAAAGAACATGTGCCCGGGCCTCTTCTTAGAAGAGACTTCCTGTAGTTCGATTCTCTTAAACGACCTTTTAATCCTTGCATTTTGGGTTCTGGTTGGCTTCTAAAGCAGCATTCAGCCTCGTCCCCAGGCCTATCCCACAGAAAAGTCCTGCGCCTCAGTCGCTCACTTGGGATTGAACTCCAACAAGAAACAAGTTATTTTGGCTGTATGATGAATCCTTTTATTTGACCAAGCTTGTTGGTTTAAAATGGCTGGCTATTGGCCTCGTTCGTTTTTTTTTTGTATGGTGTTTGTATTGACACCGACTTCTGCGCTCGTTCCACAAAAACGCAACAACAGAACATTGTCACTAACGTCGCCCCCGATCAATAACGTCGCGCTTGGTCAATAACGCATATCCAGAGAGGACCCTTGCGCGTATGTATTACCCATTGGCTGTTGAAAACAAAAAGTTCCTTTTTTAATCCCTTTTTGACGTGAAGATCAGAAGAATCGAGCACGTGTTAGAGAGATGTTTCGCTTCTTTTGCCCTCTGTTGGAAGTGAAACTTTTGCTTCTTTTACGGGAGCATAAGATGTACATTATTCCGTCTAAGCGTGGAAGCGATATCTTGCACTGGCGAAGTTTCGTTTTTGTTTTTGGTGCGTTTTCATAAGAATGAGAATAAGGCAAATACTCGGTCATGTCGGTCGGTAAAGGATATTTTACGACTAATACAAGCCTGGGCCGGGTTGTGCTAAGCGGGGTAACCCAGGGTTAGTGCGAAATTTGAATTCAGATATAAAAGCTGGAGTAGAATAAGGAAAATAATCCGACAAAATGCATTTAAACAAAACAAAAAGAAACCCGATCAAGTTAGCGCTAATTAGCCTTCGAACTTTTCAGCCTTTCTTTAAAGCTAAATTGCGTCTTTATCTGCGATGATCTTCTCTGCATTTACCCCGTTATTAGAATTTCTTATCTTTTGCGGGACAAACTGGGCGAGCCCCGAGATCAAAACAGACAAGTCTGACCCTCTCGGGTAGCTTATCAGAGCAGAGGATTCGCTTTACATCCTCTACAATTGTGGGGTAGGAAGTGCGATATTTGCTTCTTGTCACCATTACCCCGCGAGCAGAGGTTTCTTTCCGGCATGGCTTTTAGCAATCACAGTCTTTTACGTAAACATTAACCAAATACGCGACTGACAGCGAGGAAAAGGACTTCGGAAATGCTAAAAGCCAAGCCGCAAAGAAAGCTCTGCTCGCGGGGCACGTCACCATTAGCAAGGAACTGTGTCAATTCAATTCCACTCTCACAATAACGGAACGAAGGTTCCACTTCAAAAATCGAACCATGTTCGAAGGAATTATTTCAGTGCCATATTTCACTGAACGCTGATTGCACAAGGGCCGGACAGTGCGGCACAACCAGACTATTTTGAGACTATGTATGGTATAAGTGTAATATCACAGGTAGCCCATGCTCGAAATATGAGCATCGACGAGCATCGGCATTGTTGCGTAACATTCAAAATATAAGGATTTGTATGGGGGAAAAACCTATCGTGCAAGTGTCCGCTTTATAGAGGTGTCCGTATTATAGAGGTAGGGAATGTATGATTTTTGGCATTTCTGGGACCAAACGAACTGTCCTTCTTATAGAAGGGTCCATAAGAAGAGGTTAGACTGTATAATTTTTGATATGTTAATTTAATCATTTCAAGGAAAAAATTTTGAATTTTGTCAATTCTAAAAGGATTATTTAATAGTCCATTTCCAAGTTCCCGGCCCCCGGGCCTCTGTTTCAAAACGAGGGTAGGTGCTCAGCCTTTGATATGGGAATCATTTTTCATTCTCATGCAAATAAAACTCATTTTCAAAAGAAAGGTTCCGCATCTAGCCTCATTTTGAAAGTGAGGGTTTTTGGAACACGGACGTGGCCTATGGAAATGGAAAGTTACAGTTTTGGATATAGAAAATAGGAATACATTGTAAGGAGTCTCTTTTTTATTGTGAAAATATTTAATATACATATGTACATATTATATGAAAATGGAGAGAGAATTATTCTGATAAAAACTCAAGAGAGAATGATCTACTTGAAAAACTTTAATACCAAAAAGGCACCTAAATATGACTCTGCTTGATTTGTGTGTCAGCGAATATGGGTCATTGTAGATGCATGAAACGGTCCAGGGTTGTCTCACAAACGTCCACTTGTTTATATACCGGATAGAATGAACATATTATTCGAAACTGGATGGTTAAGTAAAGTTAACACATTTAGGAAATCCAGTGAATAATCCACCGAAAGTGGAATCTGGGAAACATGAAGCTGCAGAAAGTAAACCGATCAAACTGAGTTTCCGCATTCATTGTTCCGGGAACTCAACGGATAATTGAGTATCCTCTGAATTTACGAGCTGCGGAAACATGACGGCAGTTAGCGTTTCTTCAAGAGTAAACCTGACGGAAACGCGAGTATAAGGGATGCGTTTAAGGGTATCGGCAGAAACTGAAACATAACGTAGACACGCTCACATTTTAAGTAAGGTAAGCTGACACAACACACATTTTAAGTAACGTAAGCTGTTTTTTATTGAAATCCTTTAATTTTCGTAGGTTACAGAAACGATAGGTTTTTTCCCATACAAATCCTTATATTTTGAATGTTACGCAACAATGCCGATGCTCGCCGATGCCCCGCATATTTCGAGCTTGGGCTACTTGTGGTAATATATGCACTAAATTGTCGTTCACGGAAGAGAAGCTTTGGTGGAAAGTTTTCCTAGATCTTACATGAACATCAACTTGATTTACATCAAATCGTACAAGGCATAGATTGATCCCAACCGATCTACAGATTTTGCTTTTGTTATGGAATTCTCAGGAAGCACGGAATTTGTTATTAACGAGGATTCAGACACTAAGTGTGGCCGGAGTAGAAAAGAGAGAATTATCGCTATCGTTCTGTTAGTCGTGGCTTTCATCATATTAGTTGTGGGAGTCGTGTTGATTGCAGTCGCGTCAACCAAAAATGATGCAAAATCCGCTTCGACTTCAACAACCATAGAACCTCAACAAAACAGCGTTCCTACAAAGGAAAGTGGAAGTAGTAGTACAGTCAGTACAAAGTCCGGTTCCACTCCAACGGTCGCCACCACGAAATCAGCTCTCCATACGTGTGCCTTTTCGGAAGAAGCTCAAAATGTAGGTCTTGGTGAGTTTCTTGGTCGCGTTAAATCAACTTACTATAAACTCCACCCTTATGATGTTGTGCACGATCCAGACGCCACTGCGGATCGAATTAAAAGAGAATACGTCGCCTACGATCCTACGCCGTCCACGATCAAAAATAGAACGGACACCGCTCAAGCGTTGCTGAAAGAGATAAGGGACAAAAGCATCAAGACAGACCTGCTGAAGCTTCGAGAGAGGAAGGCGTTGGCACAAGTAAAGCACTTTCTTCAGCATGTGTTTGGCCAGCCCTACGATGTCAACTACTATGCCGGAGATTGGATGATGGGCCCGAATTTATTCTGCTGGCAGGAAATCTGTCAACACGGGTACGGCGTCTACAATGGAATAGGACGGCATCACAAACCGTACAACGCCGATGATGTGAAACTTATTGAAAGCAAGCTGAAAACTCACAAAGCAGGATTTCTGCAGTATATTGAAAACATGAAGATGGGTGTTCGAAGGGGAATGATCCGAAGTACGGAAGAGTGCTTAGCAGGTCTCAACTCGATCAAGAGGCAATATTTGAATACTTCTCGTTATAATGAGACAGGTGAGGTGGTCGCTTTCCCCCCTTTTTTCTTGTTGACGCGCTTTTATTCCCCTGAGTTTCTTTGTTCAGTTTTTCCTCATGTTACGTGTTTCACGGCTAATTTCTCGTCAGTTTTTTTTACTTTTAATTAGGCTATGTTTACATTACATTGGATAACTATTGATCCGACAAGAAAAACATACCCGATAGGGCTTCTATATGTTCACAGATAGGAACGGTGATCTTATATAGCGCGATTTCTGTTACGGAGCGAAGCGCCGCGTAGATCATGAAAGTGGATCGTCGCATGTCGGATAGGTTTCTGCCTTGCTCTTCGTGCAATATAAACAGGTATATAAGAGCGAGGACTGGAACCCACTGAGACGGAAGTAAATATTCGGGAGAGAGGGCTGGGATTTAAAAAAAAAAAGGGTTAAAGACATGTTTATAGTGGAAGGTGCACTTAGCTAGTCAGCTAATTTACAGGCACTCCACTCAAATATTTAGAAACAAATAATTCAAATACAGCATAACAGGATTAAAAACCCCAACTGGCAGAAGGCAACCAGTTGGCTATTTACAAGCGTGGCCGAGAATTTGAACTCGGGACGACCGAGCACAAATCCAGCAAGTGGCCAGAGCGGGACTCGAACCCGGGACCGCCGGATTGCGAGTCCGACGCGCTGACCACTCGGCCACGCTGCCTCCTCCTCCTGGATTTAGTGCACCAATCCCTCTCGGCCAATATCGGCCACTCACTCCGGTACGATAACATCTTGTTCTACTTCTGTGCCGTTGCCGTATAGCTTTTCAGGTCGCGCCGGAAGACAGACTATCCAGTATATGGTAGACATAAGCTTAGATTATCATGCGCTTACTTCGCTTTTTTGGCGTCCTTGAAAGCTCCCACTATAGCACTGGGAAAGCGCTGCTCAGATCAAATCGAACCAGACGAATGCTGCATTGGTAACAAGCCGCCAGTAAAGCCGCGTGCAAATGGACGCAACATTGTTGGGTGTTACATGTTGCGTCCGTTTTCACACTCCGTAGGTTGCGAGCAAGGCCGCACACTCTGTCTCTCTCTAGTCCCCCATTTTATTTTCCTCAGGGATAGTAGAGCGAGCGAAACGCGAGCGCGCGTGAAAATAACCCCACGCGCCGCGTGTCGCCTTTTCTCGTGTGGGGTGATTTTCACGCGCGCTCGCGTTTCTCTCGCTCTACTATCCCTGAGGAAAAATGGGGGACTAATCGTAGTCTAGAAACAGAACTAAGAAAAGACTTAACTAAGACTAAATTATTCGGTAATTAACGAGGTCAAGTACTTAAGCTAAATGATAAACAAACCAAACTATCCTACCTTGCTAGACGTAAGTTCAAGTTAACTACGGCACTTATACTTAGGCAATAATATGTGGGTTTGCGGGCACACGTAGAATCATCCCTAAGCGATACACAAGCTTGCTAAATCAAACCGGGAAATTCCTAAACGCAAACATTATAGGTCTAGTGACCCTGTCACAAGTAAATCGTCGGCCCATGTAAGGGAATCCAAAATAGTCTTGGATTCTGGATTTCACAACATGGATTCTGGATTCCAGGCACTGAATTCCGAATTTTTTGTCAGTTCAACTTGTATTCTAAATTTAATCGTTAATGGGATTCCGGATTCCACAAGCAAAAATTTCCGATTCCGAAATCCGTATTCGCTTACATAGGGCAAACAGGTAGCCCAAGTCCGATATTTGAGCGTCGGCATGCATTGTTGCGTAACCTTCGAAAATTAGACAGCAGGCCCCCGGAAACCCGTGAAGAGAAGGGTTTGTTTGAGCTCAAGGAAATCGACCAGAGGTGACCCAAGTTTTCTGCCAATGTCGAGGCAAATATGATCAAGTTACTGTTTACATACAGTAAGAGAATGCTTTGGATGACATAAACACAATAGCTCCTGTCATTGGGATCGTACAAGGCACAGGTTGATCCACTACAGCCTTATCGCACAGTCATGGAGTCCTCTAAAAGCACGGAATTCATGATAAGCGAGAATGCAGGAACTACGTTTCGCGAGGGCAAAAAACAGCGAATTATCACTATCGCTCTGCTGGTTGTAGCTTTGATCGTCCTCATTGTTGGAATCGTGTTGATTGTAGTCGCGGCAACCAAAAAGGAAGATAAATCAGCTTCGACTTCAACAACCATGGAACCTCAAAAGAACAGCGTTCCCTCAACCAAGGAACCTCAAAACAACAGTGTTCCCTCAGAGCCTGGTTCCACTCCAACAGTCCCCGTCACGAAGGCACCTTCCAGTAGGTGTGATTTTTCACAAGAAGCTCAAAATGCAGGTCTTCCTGAATTTCTTAGTCGCGTTAAATCAACTTACTTCAAGCTGCATCCTTATGATGTTGTATACGATCCAGACGTCACTCCGGATCGAGTAAAAACAGAATATGTCGCTTACGATCCCACGCCGGCCGTGATCAAAAACCGCACGGACACCGCTCTGGCGTTGCTGAAAGAGATTAGCGACAAGAACATTAACACAAACAGGTTGAAGCCCCGAGAGAGGAAGGCGTTGGCACAAGTAAAGCATTATCTTCAACACATGTTCGGTCAGCCCTACGATGTCAACTACTACGCCGGAGATTGGATGATGGGCCCGAATTTGTTCTGTTGGCAGGAAATCTGTGCACATGGTTACGGTGTCTACAATGGCATAGGAGGGTACCACAAGCCGTACAACGCCAGTGATGTAAAACTCATAGAAAGCAAGCTGAAAACTCACAAGGCAGGAATTCTGCAGTATATTGAAAACATGAAGATGGGTGTTCGAAGGGGAATGATCCGAAGTACGGAAGAGTGCTTAGCAGGTCTCAACTCGATCAAGAGGCGATACTTGAATACTTCTCGTTATAATGAGACAGGTGAGGTGGTTCTGCCTTTCTTTGAGTTGTCCATTTATGATATTTATTGGTGCACATTTTCAGACTTTCCCTGAGATTTCTTTGATCGATTCTTCTTCTGTTCAATGACTTGAAAACTATTTTTCTTTTCGCCTGCGTTGGAGACGCTCTAAACCCTCTGTATATAGTACAAATGGTTTAGACGAGTGCGTGGGCCGGCTGCAACGCAGGCTATTTTCCTTTCTACTTTCTTGATGTTATCAGTTGGCATGCAGCGCAGGACTATCCATAAAATCTTTTTAACCTTTTTAGAGGTCACGAGGTGCCGCAACTAATACCTTACTAAAGCAAACAAGACGACTATTGTATCCTTTAGATGTCAAAATACAGCTAACTGTCAGTTTTGACACCCGCCAAATGGCGTAATAGTGTTTCAAAACTTTAATCCCTCGTAGATCGGATCAGAAATGAGGCCCTTTATGCGTGTACATGATCGGGTTCTTTGGTTTGCAATAATTACAAGTTTTTTTGCCGAGGCACTTAAATGTTGGTTGGTTAATGCTGGTGCGCGTGAGATGACTTATCTTTGTGAACTTCAATGTGTACGAGCTCTTATCGATTGATTGATGATTATTAATCGTTTCAATAGCGCTTCCGGTAGCCCTGTTGGTATCCTTCAGTAATTATAACTCAAAAACACCTGACTCACAAGGAACCACACAGACTTGAATTCGACCACATTTTTTTTTATATCCATTATAACTACTTTTGAGTAACATTTATTTTTGTGTAAAAATCGCGTGATAGTAAAACCCAGACGGAGATACAAAGGTTATTACGTCTCTCAACCATTTCTCTTAAGATCTGACGGTTACGTAATTAGATTGGCTACGACGGAAAAGAAAACAGGTGTTACTAAAAGGGGAAACAGGCAACAGGCAACGGTGAGTTGGGAAAATGAAAAACGGGAACAAATCGTAACCTGAACCCTAGCCATTTTGTTCCGTGATAGTTTTCATTTTTCAGTTCCCCGGCCGTTCTCGGTTCTAGTAACATCCGAAAGATAACGCGACCTCGTTCGCCTCTTCACTATTGGGTTTCTAGAACTGATCACTGATTGACAAGATAACCAAAGACCGCACGAAGTTTAAGACAACATTTTAATTTAATCATTATGTGGGCGTTGTTATCGCTCAGAGGGCATTGATACGGCAAATCTGAATTCCGCAGATGTTTTATCTGTTGTTTTTATCAGTGGACAAGCTGATCCCAGCTGATCAACTCCTGAGACTTACGTAACAGTGATTTGGAAGCAGTGCTTGCAGTACCGTTTTTGAAAATCGAAATCTTTGAAGGAATCACTGTCAGGGTGGGTGACAGAGCCAGTGTTGGCTTAGGGAGTAATAGGGGTACTCCCTATTACAGACTACAAAGGGATGTTCCGCACAAAAGGGTTCCTAACTTTGAGGCTATTTCATGAAGTGGGGTTAAAAAACGGCTCAGAATACTTGTTATCGCTGTTTAGGTGTATATGAGGCGTCTTTCGAAGAATGCTACCTAACAAAGGATAAATTACCGGTAGTTAACGTCGCTCAGCATTAGTCTTATTAACTGAAACTCTTCTTCGAGGGAAGTGTTAGTGAAGGCACATGAAAAGGGTCCTATCTAGGGAGAAGTGTTGACTCTTATGAAAGGGGAGGGTATGGACCTCGCAGAGGATTGGGGGAAGAATCCCCCGGCGCCATCCTGCTTCCTTCTCCGAACAGGCGATTAAGTATCCCTTCAAAGAGCACAAAGATATAGTATCGTTTTTAAGTTTCACCGACTGAAATCAAGGCAAGATGTTTGCGATGTGCACGGGGCAACAAAATTCGCTGTCCGCAAGTTGAAATATAGCCTCTCACGCAGACGTTCTAGGGGTTCGTCACGCGTTCTGTCCCACGTTCGCTGAGGAGGATTGCGTGACGAGCCAAAAGAACGTCTGCACGGGGATATTATTGAAAGTGTGTGATTAACCTAATCTCGCTTTCTCCAATGCATTACAGGAGTTTTGAAAGAGTGGTTTGTCCAACTCATATTGAGCCCTGACTTTTACAGCAACATAACAGAAGCAGTAGATAGTGAATGGAAGGCGCAGCATGGAAAGAACGTCAGTGAAACAATCAAGGATTACTTGGTGACCTATCTCGGCGAACCGATCAGTAAACTGCTAAGGTAAAAAGATTTGCAATATTGATCATTCTCACACGAATTTAGCACGCGCAAAATCTTCTAAGCTTTGTTTCCCTTTCTCATAACATGAGTATGATGTACTGAAAGTGTGAATAGTCGAAGAAAACAAAAAGTGAAGCCTGTTTCGAAACGCCTATCTTATATATTAGTTATCTGAATCAACTCAGGTATCGCTCCCGATCAAACGAAATTAACTCTCGTGTTTTTTCTCTTCGAGTTTATTTTTTGATTGAAGGCCCGTCTCACCCTAGTCCCCTTCGCAGCCGCTCGGGCCGGAGTCACGCAATGCCGCCGAAAGATTTTTTTAGCGTTGAAAATTACTTCATCCCCCGCCGGCTCTGAAATACAGAATGCACCCTTGTTACAAATAAATTAATTTCTTATATCTTTTTATCGCAATAATTTCCTCACAAGAGAATTGAGAAATGCTTTCTTCATTACGGAAGCTCGTTTTTCATAATTATGTTTCGATTTTTTTAACATTATGTAGATATCTAGAAACGGAGCACATCCGTCACTGCGTTCCCAGCAATGTGTCCAGCGGTTTAGCCACTCTCCCACTGAAGTATGTTTGGCTCGATGGCAAAGAGAACAAGTCCTGGCCAACAAACCGAACACTGCCTACCGGTGAACCGCTGAACGGATCGCAGGCCTATTCTAAAATCATGTCATATTTCACAACAAACACAATGACACCTATGGAGGTCCATAAGCTTGGACAACAGCAACTGGCAGTTCTCTACCCGCTGGTAAGCTGTGTCTTGTCAGTCTGGAAAATATGTTTATATTAAAAATATGTTTATATTTAGCCTGCGTAGCAAGCGTTTCCTCGCGAGGTTCGTCTAGAAAGCTGGGACAAGAGCAAAAAAAATGAATGACGGGGGAGGGGGAGGGGAACGAAGGAACCGCTTGCCCGCAAACCCCACGATTTTGAAAAACTGCGTTCGCCCACGAACGCAGCTTCTGATTGGCGCGGTGCGGGTAGTGTTGATTACTTAGCATTCAAAACATCAATCAAACCAGGTATGCTTTGTTTTCGTGCGTCACAGATCTGGTCTCATCTGATTTGTGGTCGCAGATTATTAATGCTTTGGACTGATATTTATTGGAATCTTGTTTGTGCGAAGGTTTATGAGATCAGAGTCTTCAAAGTATAATAAGGAGATCGAGCAGTGGAGACTAGGGAAGGCCAATTTTTTGAGAATGACGGCGTGCGGATCTGACTGGAAAAAATGGACTGTTTGTTTGGAGATAACATCAACATAAATCAAAACATCGGTACTCGACACTAGCTAAAGCCGCCATGGACAAGCGATTTGTCAGCTTTTTGAAATGAAAGATTCTTTTTGCTTATTGGAAATTTAGTGGCATCTATTGTAGAGAACGTTTCGACACAAACTGAAGAGAAGCCGCTCTGCAAAACTTATACGCGGCGGAGTGAATTGTTCCGGACGAATCATTTATGACGTGTCGACAAGGTTCAGACGAGATAAAGCCACACAATAAAAAAACAAGAAATTCCGCAGCAATCGCTCATAGTTTTAACTTTCTTTTATCGTAAATCTTTTTTATTACAGTTCTTGCAATCGCCTGCAACGTGTTCTATTAAAGACCAAAGTAATTTTACAAATCTGGTAATCCAGGGGTAATCTGTTCGTTATGTTTTTTTTATGACGAGCTGTCAATTTACAGATGAACCGAACCGTGAAATATCAAGGGGCGTTTTCCAGAATCGTGGGGTTTGCGGGCAAGCGTTTCCTCTTCTCCCCTCCCCCTCCCCCTTCAACCTTTTTTTTGCTTCCGCTCTAACCTTCGCATAATAACTCGATTGGAAACGCTTGCTACGCAGGCTAGTTTATATTATGCAACCGTGATTTGCAATCTCCCACTTCGTTTAAAGTAATAAATGTAAGGGGGTGTGATGAATGCCGTACACGGCGGTATGTGAAGACGTTTAATAGGGACTTTAAGATTCAACGACGCGGACGGCAACAAGAACGTCAAAAAAACAAAAGGTTTAATAAGCAAAACAACAACTTTGCACGTGCATCACGCTTTTTTTGCACATTTCTTTGCCCGTTTTTGCACGACAACGACGTGAAAATGCCTAATTTCGCGTTTTATAGAGAACGTAAACAAGCAACGATGAAATTTTGTTTTTCTTTCTGCAATTGGATATGGTCCCTAGGAATTCAACTCCAGTAAGTGGGTAGGAATAATTGCGATAAAGACTGAAAAAACGAAAATTCACCTTTCAAGCGACGTTCCGGTTGCCGTCGCGTCGTTGGATCTTAAAGTCCCTAACGGCGTGCGGAGACGCGAGTGTGTAAGAATTATCAGTGTAATGAACAGTGCAAATGAATCGTCTTCACGGAGTGCAACTGATACAGCTAAATAAGGTCCCGGCACTTTATTTTACGTTGACCTTAGCGTAACTGACTAGCTTCTTTTCAACTTTGAGTGAAGTATCTTCAAACACCTCGTTTGCCATGTCAGCGGTTTGAATGATGCCTGATTATTACTTGCGCCTCTAAACGCGCCTGATCACCGTCAACCGCCCCCCGTCCCCTTACTAACGCCTATTGTACCGGGTAAGAGTTGGTGTTCACTTCAAGAGGAGCCTCTACCGTCATACACATCGCAAACTGCTTCATCTCTGCTATACAAAAAAGGCCAGGGCTTAGAGAAATATAGAGGACGGTGTGTAGTAGGTGGATCTCTGCTCAATTGTATGCATAATTGTATGTATGGTGTACCTGTGTCGACTAACAACTAAGTACTTATCTTGTCAAACTGACTAGCTAGTCACATTTCGTTGTCACGCCTTCTCAACCAACTTATTTAACTTTTCCCGAGTGTACTTCTTCCCTCTTTCCCCAATGTTGATGATGCATTTTCTTTTTTGAGATCGTCGCTGTTGCCAGAGAAGTAACTGGAGAGTCAGATAACAATACTGCTGTAATGAAGTTCCGACAGAAACTTAATTCATCTGAAAGCTACTTTAATCCTCAACCAATTCCCAAGAACGAGTCTGACAAAGAAGCACATATAAAATGTAGCGATATTGAAGGCGCAAAGAAATATTGTCCAACACGATGGGCTGCATTAGAACGGTGGTTTGCTGAATCAAGAAAGGTAACGTGTACATGCCCCCCCGGGGGGGGGGGGGGGGGTGGGGGTACTTAGGTTAATTTTTGCTTGGTATGTGCCGCTGGCCTCTCAGAGCCCCAACCCCATTACATTCTATTCTCTGGCCAATTATAGACCCCATCTTAGTCACTTTTGGGCAAATATGTAATTTTTCCAATCCCAACTTAGTCACTTTCTATTTTTATGAATTGACTCATTTTTTAGATTGAATGAAGAACACTTTACTTTTCATCTGCAGTACAAACATTCTAGTACGTTTGCTAACCATAAATATAAAGAACTGTCTTACTCAAAAAAATCCAAATGTGCAACCCCATTCTAGTAACTCTATTGAAAATGCGACCCCATTATAGTCAATCCAGGCGTGAAGATGCGACCCTATCCAGCGGCACATCCCCCCCGGGTTGCATAGTTGCTTGATTCCGATACGTTCTCCGCGATCCCCTCTTAATGACAGCTAAAGATGCGTAGCCCAACCATATGATCTTCGTTTTCCAGTAGAAAAGCACCAAGGTCGTCCACTCCTCTGGTGCTGTGTCAGGGTTGTTTCGTCTGTTTGTTTTTCGATATTGATTGTTGATTGCATGCCGTGTTCGTTGAAGAATGATTAAATCATTGCAATGCCAGGATAGCAGGACATTATACCATTTGGGAATATATGAATCATTCTTTTTTGTAGAAGTAATGTTGTAGCTGCGACCCTTTACATATGCCGAGAAAGATAACAAACTGGCTATAAGATTCTAGGTTTGCAATTGTCGCATTGTGACTTATAACGCGTAGTTAGACGGATCCCTTTAAGACGCTTCCGATCCACCAACACTACCAAATACCTGCCGCTATTGGCGGGCTGAATAATAAAGGAAGGTTTTTGCAGCATTTGCTTCACGGGATTGCAGTACACTCACATCTCCCCTGAAAGCCACAGAAACGACAAATGGCACGCTACCACGTCGATTTTTTTAGGTGATGAGTTTCCTGGAGCCCAAGACTATCCCATTGTTCTATTTCACTGGAGAAAAAGCGACAACGCCTACTTGCCCAGTTGAAATGCAACCTAATCTTAATCCATCAAGTGGAGCTCAAAGTTATCAAAACGCTGATGCAGGCTGCACCAGAAGTGCAAAATATAACATCCCATTTTTCCTGGAGAACTTGGGTCCAACGTTCTCTGAATGGAGTGTCAATGCTCACGAAGCCAGGCCAGGCCACCACACGCAGGTAATGCCAGTACTCTCATTAGATTGATTAAGTTGTGTCGGGTGTTTTCCACGTTGTCAAACCAAACAGTCAGATAACAGTGGAATTATCCAAGAGAAAAAGAAAGCGACAGTGTTCGATTGAACAAAATTTCCAATCGAATCGACGCGATCCATTTGCGTTTTGACCGAAATATTGATTACTGTTAGGCAAATTAGGCCGATGGAAACGAGAACGTTTGGAAATGGAACGGCAAGTTTCAGGTGAACTGGTCAAAGAGGACCACCCCTGGAGGTGGGCCACTTTGACCGGAAAATTTCCACCTGGACCGAAGCTTTCTATATTTATTTCTCAACTGAGATTTCCGAAAGTTTCGACATAATGGAAAGCACACCTTGTTACTGGTGGCAACTAGAACGCTTTCCATATGTTCGAGCTAGCCAATCAGAGCGCACGTAGAGCTCTATTCACTGTGTAGTAAATTATTATTACCTTGGTTGCTAAAAGTCCCGTTCTTTCGGCAGCTACTTCGCAAATCACATGACATCTAAAATGAAACAGTTTCCCGCCAAAATTCTTTAAGCGGGCAACATTGCGACATCTGTGACGCCAGAGGGTAACAAATTGATGTACTGTTACCTGAACAATGGCCTCTCTCAAGCACTCTCTTTAGAAACAGGAAAAAAAATTCTTTCGATAAATCAAGCAACTTTCGAGGTGATTTTTACTTTGATCAGAAGGTACAGGGAACTTACATACAGTAAATCCTCTATTAAGCCCCCCTCTCAAATAAGCCCCTCCCTCTAATAAGGCCCCCCCGCCTTTTTCAGGGTAAGAAAGTTAATAACCCCCCCCCCTCACTATTAAGTTCCCCCTACCCTTCCCTAATTTTATATGATAAACTGTATTTATCAATCACGACTGCAAAACTTTTTGTGGACTGATCCGGGATGGTTTATTTACCAACTGAAAGTTCGGTTTTGATTCTGATCCTCGGCTGCATGACCTAAACCTTCCTGTCATTCTTGTACTTCACTTACTTGCACCTTTTTAATTTCTATACTAGTTCTTTATGGAGAACTGATACCGTCGTCGTTTCTAAATTAAATAAGCTCCCCGTCTCTATTAAAGCTCCTCTCAAATGGGCCTGCAATAAATAATAAGCACGGGGGGGGGGCTACTAGTGGATTTGCAGCATAACAGGACCTAATCTTCCTGCGCAGACATCTTAAAAGCCAATTTCCTCCCCCATTGGATGTTCAATGTGTTTTTTGGTGTCATATTCGTATTTTCACCGATTTCGGGAAACAGCATTCATTGTTCTCCACGGAATAGATCCTTCCACGTTTTTTTCATCTTTCGATGAAGACCAGTTAACAAAAACCCGTCAACGTGGCTAAAAAGTACGCATTAAAATTCGTTAAGATGTCAAGTTTGAAGTTAATTTGTTGAAAACTAACGAAGATATAGTTCCGTAAAGTTGCCGATTTTACAGACGTTTGCAAAATTTCGCGACTTTGTTAAGCAATATCTTAGCTTATCTTCAAACTTGGTAAGTTTCCTAATTTCAAGGTGTCCTTTCTAGCAGCGTTGACTACAGCAGCGTTGAAGACCTAACTAGTCTTCATCAAAACATGAATAACTTGAACCGTGGAGGGGTCTTTTAATCACTGAGTTTTAACTATTTTAAATTTTTCATGTTTTTTTCGTAGGTGCAAGGTACCGTTGAACATTTCCGGGATAGCTGTGGCGGTGTCATAGGCTGGCTTGATACGGTAACTTATTACACGGCGTTCACGGAAGGCTGGGCCCTGTATGCTGAGAATCCGCTGATCGCACAAGATACTGACACTTACAAGAGCGAACCAATGCAAAAGTTTGGAATGTTGAAATGGCAGGTGAGACAGGTAGAAATAAAGTAGATAAGTCAATAGGTAAATAAAAGGTATGTATTTTTTTTTTTCACATCTGCAAAAAAGTCATCGCCCAAAAATACTGCTGTCGAGGTTCATTGAAATATTTAAACCATGAGATTTCGTCCATACTCACTAGTTAAAGGAAAAGCTATTAAAATGAAAAAAAAAAGTTTTTAAAATAAAGGGAAAGTAAATACTTTAATGGAAGAGGAGGAGTTCTCTAGTTTTGAGTTTCAACATTCTGATCGGTTTTTCGAAGTAGAAAGCTACAGTACCATTCACTTAAAACCTACATCATGCAATAAACTTTGTAAATATAAGTAACGTTATCTCAATTATAAGTCCCCCCTCTCTAATAAAACTCTTCCTTTTAACAGTAGAAATTTATTAACACACAGCAATTTCGCAGTTTTTGATGGCTGATATTTCCTTCAATATTCAGCTGAATATTGCTTGCAAAAAGCTGAAAATTGCACAAATCGCTCAACTTAATCAGCTCCTTCAAGTTTTGCATTCAGTTGATATCTACGGCAACGGCCTCTATGAGTTAAGTCGTATGCTAATGATGAAAACTGTAAACAATGACGTCAGCAAAGATTCGCCTATATGAATCCTTACAAAATAAGTTGATCTTCCGTAGCGGTTTCAATGGTGTATGAGACTGTGGCTCACTAACCTTAACTTCAACTCCTTTTTAGGTATGGCGAGCTATTCGTTTGATTGTTGACACAGGCCTACACTACGTTGGGTTCTCTAGAGACAAAGCCCTTAAATACTTTAGCGATTACGCGTGGGATGACACCGACCTTGCCAAGAAAGAGGTGAGACAACGAGATGAACGAGTTAAGAACTTGGCTGTAAATGAGTCCCTATAAATACGCCGATAGTAACAGAAGATAAGAGTTCGTATTTATTAGAGGACAAAACTTTTGAGTCTGCATATCGTAAAGTTTCCTATGTTCTATGCGCAGGCATCACGCAGGCTCGCAATTTAGTTTAGTACACAATTTTATAGGTTCTGAAAATCTTACCACATTGCCCAAAAATTTTTTTTGAGACCGGGATCTCCCCCTTCCCCCCCCTGTCTCAAGTTCTGGATCCGCCACTGGTGACTTTCCTTTCTCCGTTTTGTACAATTTAAATTATTCCTTTGTTGAAAGTACCCATGCCTAACGAATATCCATCTAGAAACAAGTGATGTGATTGCTGTTTTTTTTTTTTAATTCAATGATGAGCAGGTAACGAGGTACCAGAGCGACCCTGGACAGGCCACTGCTTATATGATTGGACAATTGGAAATAAAAAAGAACAGAAAATATGCCACTGATGAACTGGACGAAAAGTTTAGTCTGCGAGATTTCCATTATCAGGTAAATTATACACGCTTTCATACTTGAAAAAACAACTTCCCAGACAATGCCATACTGAACTATTTTTACGTTAGACGATAGGAGAACGCAGTTCATAATCTTGGTCGTCCTGTACTTATAAAAGATGATATGTTTCGTCCTTCTATCACTTTTTAGCACTATTTTGTGTCACGCGACACAGATATTGGTAGCCAGCAAAGCTGTCGCATGACCTTAGGGTTTTGGGTTTTTGTCATCTGAACCCTCTTTTTATTAAAGTAAGTATTTTTTAAATTTTTCTTATGAGCTTTTGAAGGATCTTACTCGCTTTCATGACATAATTCAAAGACATTTATCTGGCCACCATGACACAAAGATATCCAGCAAAAAACAAACTAAAATCTTGACCGCACTCCATAATCTGCGATTACTACTTGTATAATGTTGTTTTTTAACGTGCGTGGTCTCTAAAAGCAATAAGTAAGTCACACTCAGCATTTAACTATTCCTTTCCTTTTGTTTCCAGGTTCTTGCACAGGGTTCCTCTCCTCTAGCTTACCTGTCAGATCACGTAAGAAGGTATGTGGCCTGTGTCCAAGACAAAGCCAAAGAAGGCTGTGATGTCATCTTGAACCCTCCAAAGAAAACCACCACAAAGAAACGAAAAGAAACAGATCGTTGGCCACTGATACCTAAAGAAAGGGAGCATTACATTTAAATATTAGGGATAGTGAAATGCCTCTTTTTTCCGCTTGTAAAGTTTTGCAGCTTATAATAAGTTCCAATGTTAACTGTACAAAAAGGAATTTAATTTAGAGGTGGTTATATGTTTATCCTTAGCTTTAATTATGGAGGCATGTAATGTAAACGTAACTTTTGAGTCTGGACAAAAATTAATGACGGGCTTTGACCATTTAATTAAACCTTCAGCTAGTAGTAGTTCTGCATCCGGGTGCAATAAGCCTCAATAAGGACAGTGTCGGCCAAGGGGGTCCCAATAAACCATTATACCCGACATAATGTACACAACATACCCCAATATACGTTCTCCATATATCTATACGCCTTAAGGAAACTAAGTATACCCGAAATGATTTGTTTTCAGGAGATAGATAACGCATGTTCATTTGATTGTTTGTTTTTCGGTAGTAGTCGTTAAATGTTATCAATAGATTCAATCATCGTAGCATTCGGGAGTAAAAGCCTTTTTCAGCAGCGATAATCAGGGGCCTAGCCAGGATTTTTCCATCCAGCTTGCCGCTCTCTGCGCGCTTTTTTTTTTTCACCCACTCTCTAAATATATCAGTCTACTAATGAATCACACGTGACTTCTCTGGAAATTGACAGTTGGGTGTCAAAAAGGAAAAGTGCGTTGTTATAGAAAAAACTATTTCAAAGACACAATCAAGCGGAGTTAAACTGATAAACATTAAGGAAATCTATGTTTTTAAGTTTATTTCCTTTCTTCAGAAAATTTCCTTTATTGGTATTATATTTCTCAGTTTTATCCTCGGCAGTTTTTGCGTATAGGTACCTTCTCCCCAAGCTTATTAGTGTCTTGTTACCAAGTGAACTGAATGTTGCAAACTGTTTATTACAAACAGTTTGCAACAGGATTGGATCCTAGCTTCGCTGAGGCGTATAAAATAAAGAAGAGTTCTGTTTGTGCACGCAGTTTGTCTAAACTTCGGTGTGATGGGACCGCTGATGCTACAAAATAGCCCCCGCACAGCCCACGAATTCCTCTAAAAGAGCATTTTTTTGGCCATTGAGAAAATCCAAGCTTAGGTTTGGTCAAAATGACCGGGAAATTGGCTTCGTTAGGCTTTTCAGTTTTGTGTGTGAACTTCTTTATTCATCCTGGTTTCATGCACCAGCTGGCCAATAACCGGCACCAAGAGAGGATAAAGCTCAGCCAATGAATCGCCCATATAGGCCTTGCACCTATGGTAATCCCTCTAAAGATATTTTTAGATTTTCTCTGAGATCTGTTGTTTCCAAGAGGGTTGAGTGATAGCCAATCATATGTCCTTAATTTTACCAATGTTGACAGGTGGGCAAAGGCCTAAGCAATGCTTCGCGACGTTCACGAATCAATTGTTATGTTGGCGGAAGACGTAGGTTGGGTTAAGAAGACTGTAACCATAGCAAAACGAGTCGCGTGTACACGTTGTGTTGACAAATGCGACTTCAAGGAAGTGAGTGTAGTAAGTGCTTTAAGAGTTATGAAAGAAAAAGTACAGTCGCATATAATTAATTAATAACGAACATTAATAACGGATAACAATTAATAACGAAAGAACTACAGGACATCGCGCTGCGGTCTAGAGACTCACTTAATCAAGAAAAACAGAATGGAATGTATCAGCCCCTGAAGAATTTTCGAGGTGTAGCTTCAGTTTAAGCAACTATATGGATCTGAAGATAATTTACCGTGAGGATTCGGCATCTAGACTGCTTGCAGTCGGCCTTTTCTTTTAAAATCCGTCTAGTTCTTATCTCAGCCAGAGCGATTGCGGCTCGCGGCTTCGCCGTTCGCGTGCTTGGGTTTCGCGTGCAGTAACTTTGCAAAAAAAAATAAGAGACTGCTCGCAGTCTATTCGGCATCCTGCAAACAGTAAGAGCATCTGGCGTCAGGACATAGCAGGAAATGAGATCATCACCTTTACGGACCAAAAGCTACACGCACGTAGCCATTCAGATACATGTACTTAGAAACTAAAATCACTACTAAAAGGTTATTTAGCTGCAAGAAAAAGCTTAAGACTTTAAAGAGGTCAAAGAAAATTAGAGCTTAACAACTGCATCTGAGATCAAATTAATTCTGTGTAACAACAAAACAATTACTAAACGCCTCATGACCTTTCAATGTCAAAGTGTGACTCCACGGAGACTCATTAGAGCGGCCAAATTGAGATTTGCTCTTTAAAAAGCTCCATGCACTGCATAACCTACGAGCTACCGTTGTTGTTTTGAAGCATACTCATAATCAAAGGCGGTCACGTTTCATACTCACGAGCTTATGAGTCGTGTTTAGCCTGTCACACTTTATTTCAAAGAGTTAATTCCTTTGTGAATCTTCCAGATCCTTTGACGATTTTCTGTTTTCGATGCTAATATCGATTGATACATGCTCAAATAAAGAAAAGCTCTCAAAAAACGGTCATCATTTGGCATTAAGAGAGGATAAACCCTCTTTATCCTCTCTTGTTTCGCATTCATCGCAACTCTCGCTCTCCCGACATGCTCACTCCTACACGAAACTTCCACGCAACGCGCGAAGAAATATTATCCGCGGGAAAACCGTTACGTTTCAAAAATAACTTTAGAGGGATTACGATGGTAGATTCATTCGCTGAGCTTAATCCTCCTTTGCCGGCCACCTAGCACTGACAACAAGCCTTTTTGACGAAATTTTTTTCATAAGACGCCTTTGTTAAATGTTCAAGGAATACTGAGGGTCTGGATCTGGTGTCACTAGCTCATCGCTTCAGGCTGCCGGTCTGACATCAGTACAATCTCATATGATATGGTGCTCAAGTTGCAAGGGGAAGCTAGGCTGTTTCTAGACTGCAAAACAGTCCGTATTTTTGCGTATTCAAGTACGCGCGAGCAGTCAAACAAAAGGTCTGGAATGAGGCTGAAAACAGAGAGCGAGACTGGGGAGAGACGCTAAAAATACGGACTGTCCGTTTTGCATACGTTATATTCGTTCGAATTACCCGCTTCTCCCAGCCACGGGCAATTCCCATTGGCTAAATTTCGATGCAAGCTGTCACCAGGCTGTCAAGTAATGTTTTCAACATGTCATTCACGTTGTTCCATACTGTAATGAATTGCTAAAGCTTTCGCTGTAAAATGACAGATGTTGATCGCCTGGATTTGCTCGCAAGAATTGGGATTTGTTTTAAAATCGGAGCAGAGCGAAGCTTTGGAGTTGCTACTCAGGAGAAAGGATGTTTTCTGTGTTCTACCAACAGGATTTGACAAAAGCCTTATTTATCAGATGTTTGTTCATGCAAAGAGTTCTTCAAGTTCCGTGCAACGGCCGACCGTCATTGTTATCTTGCCTGGCTAAAAAAGCGATCGGTAGGAAACACACGACTTTTACCTCATGCAAACATGCCGCTTGTTCCAATGAATTGTTTTCTCTGTCGAGTAGATTATGCTTTGGAGGAAAACGTTTTGACTGAGCAAATGTGAATTTTGGCCGCTTATTAAATAAATTTCATACTGAGAGGTCGTGACACGCATATTGATTTTCTCTGGTAGGCATGATTTGCCCTCTGACGCAAGAGCATTTTCTTTCTTGGCCCCTTTAGAAATGTAAAGCTCTTCATTGCGGCTGATTAAGGGTTCTAGGTTGTTTTATTTCTCCAAAGTGCCTCCTGGATTTGAATAATTTTAAGCGATTTTCTTTGTGTCCGTGAATGTGCCTTTTTCCTGCAATGTTTTGTCACGCTGGGCCCAGCTCGTTAGCGTTTTTGGCAGGATTTTAAATTCTCACAGATAGTAATTTACAGAGCTAAATCACCACGACGTGGTTTGGAATGAGGGGATTTACTCATTCTTTTTAGTCGCAATAATTGTTCATTGTCAGTTGGCATGTTCAGTTCTTCTCTAATTTGCGAAAGCATCGCCGTGCAGTTTCCCTGGGCAATTTCTAACCGTTGTTCCGCACGGAGAGCAAACTGCTCTTGTGGAGAAAGATTCTCCTTCCTCGAGGACAACGAAAAGTTCGTTTTTCAGTAGGTCGGCCCACTTTGGTAACGTTTCCCTTTTTCTGGTAGGCGCTACAAACGCATTTTCCGAGCTTATCCATCCATTCGTAAAATTGCCGAACTGTGTTTTGAAACAACAGCCGCACATTCTACAATTTGTTCAAAGCCCTCGGCTCTTTCGGCTTTCTCCCTCTTCGAGGAGCAGGCACAGGCTTTGTTGTCGTACTGCCACTTCCACTCAATTTTGATCCTGCACTATATATATATACCTGTCAACTTTTTCTGAGATGTAGGCGTGAGATTTTTATCCTGGGAGTGCTGGGATTTTTGAAAACGACACGATCATTTCCGAAGATTCCCGAAGAAGTCCGAAGTCTTCCGAAGACGTCCGAAGTCTGCCGAAGACGTCCGAAGGCTGCCGAAGGCGAAGTTATCGAGAAAACACCTATCCACAAAATCAGAGATCGCGAGGAAGGTATTGTCATTTATTCATTTTACACATGGTTTTCGTTCGTTACATGGGTCTGAGTTAACATATTTTTGGAAATTGTGTCCGACAAGACGACAACAACTCACATTTTTCAATCAGGCGTGAGAAATTGGTCCGCAGGCGTGAGCGGGCGTGAGATCGAAGTTTTCAACCCGCAGGCGTGAGACTCACGCCTAAGGCGTGAGAGTTGGCAGGTATATATATACTACATTTCACTATATACACTACATTTCACATGAAAGCAACGCTAAAAGCTGCTTTAGAATTACTGGATTACAGCGTCAATAATAACACGCGAGTCTATCAAATTCACAAAGAGGGCGGAGTTGCGAACAGATTTTTGACAGCTCGACGACATTTTTGAACCCCCTGGTCGGAACGAACTCATTGTATGGAAAACGGACAGTCGGTTTTTTTTCTCTCGCCTCACACGCCCTACGGGCGTGTGAGGCTCGCGCGCGCGCGCGTAAGACTCTTACGCCACGCTTTACCGATTTCTTTACTGATTTTGAGAAAAAAACCGACTGTTTTGCAGTCTAGGCTGTTTCTCAACTTGCATCGAACACGGGATGCTGTAAAATGCAGCAATTGTCAACAGTTCTTGGAACTCTTATAGTTTTCTTCACACTCTTACCCAAGAATCCGAGAAAGTATTATTTCTTTTCTTTTCCGTCTCCGTGCATTTCCTGTAGAAATGGCGAAGTTTTACCTTATTTGGTCAATTCATGAAAAATAGCCTTCTTCGATATTTCAAGTGAAATTTGAATATTGCGAAGATAAAATTAGTGGAATCCCAGGAAATAAACACTGGTTGGCTCAAAAAATATTTTTTTCTCCAGTTTAGTTTTAGTTACAAAGTCTGATTGGCTAATATATGTCATCCTAGTTATAACCCAGACACTCAAGCAGCATTTTACTCCACTGGCAAGTTAAACACAGACAGCAACTGCCAGAGCGATTGTGTTGTTTCTGGAAAGAACGCATATACTTATATACATCTATATATCATGATGGAGTCCGCTAAAAGCTCGGAATTTATGATTTCCGAAATCAAGTTTGGTAAAAGTAAACTTTCCAAAGAAAGAGTTGTCACAATTTCCTTGCTAACTATTGCTTTCATATTCATGATCGTTGGCATCGTGTTGATGGCGGTTGCAGCGTCTGAAAAGAAAGTTGATAAGGAATATGCATCTCCTTCCTCTTCTGTAAAGCAAGTTGGTAAGGAATGTGCATCTCCTTCTTCTTCTTCAAATCAAGAAGGACAGGTGCGTTCTACCCCAACTGCCATCACAAAGGCTTTAACGACAATGGCACCCTCTAGCAGGTGTGGTTTTTCAAAAGAAGCTCGAAAAGCCGGCCTTGCCGATTTTCTCGATCGCGTTAAATCAACCTACTACAAACTTCATCCTTATGATGTTTTTTATGACCCAGATGTCACAACCGATCATGTAAAAAAGGAATACGTTGCCTACGATCCAACGCCATCTGTGATCAAAAACCGCACGGACACCGCTCTGGCGTTGCTGAAAGAGATAAACAACAAACGAATCAACACATTCATGTTGAAGCCCCGGGAGAAGAAGGCGTTGGCACAAGTGAAGCACTATCTTCAGCATATGTTCGGCAAACCTTACGGTGCAAACTACTACTCAGGGGACTGGATGATGGGGCCAAATTTGTACTGCATGCAGGAAATCTGCGATCGCGGAAACGCTGTTTACAATGGAATTGGACAACATCACAAGCCACATAGCGTACGTGATGTAAGAGACATTAAAAGAAAACTGGAAACCCACCAGCAAAGTTTTTTACAGTATATCATGAACATGAAGATGGGTATTCGCGCAGGAATGGTTCGAAGTAAGGAAGCATGTAAAGCAGGCCTTGATGCGATTAGGAAGAAATACTTGAAAATTCATCTTGACAATGAGACAGGTGAGTCGTCTTGGTTATCGATAAGTGTACTGACATGCCCTTAGAACTATACACTTTGAATGTTCTTCTACTTGGTAGAAAAAAAGTAGGTTGTAATGCTATTTTGACTTTTTAAAGCTTTGTCCCGTAATTATCTTTCCGGCAGAATTAAACTGAAAAACTAAATATACAGCTAAATAGAAAAACTACGTTATGTTAATTCAGATTTGAAAACTTTTATTTAAAGCCATGCAGCAGTACAATTTTACACGTTGCATATATGTATATATATTTACTACAAATAATCACATCCACGTACGTGAAAAGGAAATACTTCTGATACTTCAGTTCAGGTTACCGCACTGTACTAGGGTGTATTTTTAAGAGGTAAGGCCATTTTTAGTTTTTCGCTTTTTTTAAAATCGACACTAAAAGTCAAGGTCTATGCCAGTGGCTCTTTCGACTGATTCTTGATTCTTCCAGACTCTTCCGGGCGAGGGAGAAAGATCGATTGTGCAGTGAGTGTCGAGTGAGTGATGTGGACGCTTAAATCTAATTAGCCACTTCCAGGCGCTCGGACTCGGCCCCAGTGATCTGACCGCCGCGCTCTACTATCTGAACGCCTGCAACAGGTTTAAATCTAATGCCCAGGCTGAATACAGCCGTACACAGACGAATCGAGCATTCTAGTGCCTCTGAACGAGTTGGTGTAGAGTTTTGTAAAAACATTCTTTGGGACATTTGCTATCGGAATATGGTCAAAAAGGTCTTTCATCTTTGGGCGATATTTAACAATCATTCCTCGAGCCCGAATGGGCTCTGAGTCAATAGCCCATGAGGCCGAAGGCGGAATGGGCTATTGACTCAGAGGCCATGTGGGTGAGAGGAATAATTGTTTTTAATAGAATCGCATAATAGAGTAAAATGTGGAACTGCGAGTTGAAAACGAGGCTAAGCGATATTGTTTCGCATCTACGTAACAATGATCGTCAAATTCTAACACAAAAACTGCAAAAGAGGTTTCCTACAATATCATTTGAAAATGTTTTCAAAACCATTGTCACCTTTTGAACAGTTAAAAACAAAAAAAAAGCTTTTTTTAAAGTGAGCCGGAGGTTCTTCCTTGTTTTGAACTGAACTACAAATTCTCCGGAGAGGCATAAAAAACCTCTTTCGCTCGCGATAACGACAAAACAAAAAAATCATGTGAATACAGCCCAGACAATGGCAAGCCAAAGTTCAACAAAAACAAAACGGAGAAGCGACAACGGAGGAAGTGCCAGGGTCGATTGTCACATATACAGAAGAAGAAAAAAAAAACCTTCAAAGAAGACATGGCCCCTGAAAACACCAAAAAGAGTACGCCGCTTGCAATCGTCCTGAATGGTGGTACTTAGAAAAGTACAACTGTGCTGAACTTGAACAGCATTTCTAAAACATTTCAAGGTACTTACCTTATATTAATCGCGACGTTTAACTTTCAGTGCTTTCGCTTGGACACTTTATTTCTTTCAGTTTTTCCGCCGAAGAGGCAAAAGGTGTAAAGCACTTTCATTCTCGAGCAAATGACCAATTTGAAAAAAGATGTCATAGATAAACGGCTTTTAAATTCAGTGAAATACCTCTATTTATCCTTACGATTAGTGTGAGGCTTGTTTACACGTAAAAAAGTTTTAAAACAAATGTAAAAACAAGCACGAGGTACAAAAAAAGTTGTCGAAGGTTCAAACGTGTTAGAGTGACTGACCTTGCTAGCTCTTGCTTCCTATTCGCTAAAGCAATGACAGTTCTGACAGTTGACTTTAAAATGGCTTTCTGGAGCGCGCACTCAGGATAAAAACAAACAATTTTACTGCTGTTTTCTTTTTTTTCTGATTTTTATTCAATTATGTGATTCAAGGAAAATCCATTACCTGACTCGTGAATTCCACGTTAAATTGCACTTAAAAACCGATATCGCACTCATCGCGATATCGGTTTTCTCGGGCAATTTAACGTGGAATTCACGAGTCAGGTAACGAATTTTCCTATAAAATCCGACTAGTTGGTCAAAATTATCGAGACAAAACAACTTTAGCTAGTTAAAGCGAGACTTTAATCCTTTTTTGCCGCCAAAACGCTGGCGCTTTTCATAACATATAGCCTGGTAGTAGCTCAACCAATCAGAATTCAGCATTGATAATAGACCACTAGTTGGATTTTACTAAATAACAATTATTCACCGAAGTGGAGGTGGCTAGTCCTGGATGTTTACCGAACTGCGCAGCAGTGAGGTAAATATCCACGACTAGCCACCGACACTGAGGTGAATAATTGTCTTAGTATCTACTAAAACAGTGAGATAATTGAGCACAAAAATGACGATTTTTAACTGAAATACTGTTGCCAACCATTACAATTTTGGCGCGTAATGACCGGGCGGCTGCGGCCGTCGCTTTTTCTTGCCGACAATTAAAACTTTTGAAGGCATTTGTTTAGCTCTTGCGGGGAAATTTCTTCAAAAGGAGTTGTGAATTCTTTTTGTATTTAAAATCATTCTATAAAAAAAGATTATTAAATTTAGTTTTAAGCTTTTTTATGAACAACTCAAATAAACAAAGCAAGCAAGACTTAAACTTAATTTGCATTTGTAAACAAAAACTTTTTCACCGGTTTTATCGATAAATTCGTGTCAAAAAGACAAAGCTTTACCTGTTAAAACATCCAATCTGAACTTCGTCACCTTCTTCGTGTATTTCGGAAACAGCTTGCTTGATTAGTTGTGAAATTTCTTTGTTTGTTTACGGCAGCAAACCCGGGAAGGCATTTTGCTCGCAACTTACCCGAGTTTGGCGTTGCTCGCTCGGAGGAACTGGAGGTGAATCAGTGAATAGTGCAGGATATTCACTGACTGAGTACTGTTTTAGTATATACTAAGAGCAAATATGCGGCGATGAACAGGAGGGCATTTTGCATGCGCATGCGTGAATCCGCTGAATGACAATAGCGTGGGCTCATCAAATCTGATGGCGGGAAATCGAAAACTCGCGCGTAAAGTTACAGTCCTTTTAAAAGCCATTTCGTTGGTGCTTTGAATACCGCACTTTCCTTCAAAAAATATTCTCCATCACAAAAATCAGACGTTTTCTACGCGGGTTTTCACTTGTAGATTTTTCAGCAGTAGGTTTCCTTGGCCTTTTAAAGACTTTCAAGACTCAACGCCAAAAAGTCATGTTCCTGTATAAGTCTGATTTTCACTGGCAAAGCAATGCATTTCCATGGTTTGATTTCCAAACTCGTGGTTTTACACATCAGGGAGGAAATGCATCGTAGCAATGTTCAGCTGCTTTAGGGCAAAAAGCGAAAAAAAAAATTACCACGCAAGGTTTATTTATTAGCGCGATGTCTCATGTTAAACTGATCGCGAAGACAAGCGTTTATATATGCCACAAAAACGTGAAATCTATGGGGTTTTTACAGTTTTTTGAAAGTTTTCGCGGAAAAATTTATAAAAAATATTCTATAGGAAATGAAGAATGGACTGAGCTTGAGACAATTACAAGTGATTAGGTAGAACATAATCACTTGAGCATTTCTAAGCTCAGTTGCAGACAAAACGAATGCACGCATACTCGGAAAAAACGAACAGTACTTTTATTTTTCTTTAACTCTATAGATACAAAGATTTTTCCTAAGCTACTATTTTGAAAGTACTCTTGAGTGACAGCTCCTGTGCTCCACAATCGATTTCTTGTTATTAATCTGTATTTGATGACAGTAGTGATCCAGTCAAAACAGAGAATGGCCATCACTCCATATAAATCTAAATGACGATGTTGTTCACCTTCAAAGCCTGTTTGAACATAAGATAGGAAGTTTGTTAAAGGGTGCATATAATGCTGTTTCCTCAAAAAAATAAATACTTCTGCTAAAGGACCCAAATGAGCTGGGATGCGACAACAAACATGACACAAATGGATGGATAAATTTGTCTGTTCTTAATGTTTCTGTTGAGAGCGTTTTACTGTATCCAGATGAACCCCTTATGTAAGTTGTACATCATGGAAGAATTATCAAGCAGAAACTGATGTACTAAACAAGAATGTGGTTCAATACAGAGGAGAAGCTGGTCTCAGTAACCATCCTTTGTGAATGAAATGTTGCACAAATTAGCATATCAACAAATGTAGTATCCACAAAATGGCATTATTCAGGAATAAATGCAATTGTTTTTTAAACAAATGCGTTGATTTATTTCAAAGTGATTGATAACGTTTCATTTCGTGCTATTTTGGGGTTTGGGAGTTAAGCTAGATTTTCTTTAAAACGCCGAAATGTTATATTTATTTGCATAATGAAATGTAAACAGCAGTGTACTATCAAAATAAGGTGGAAAATATCAGAATTCAAACCGATTGCTGTAATTTTTTTTTCCTTTGTATAACCAAATAATAGAATTTTCTTTTTTTCAAAACACAATCTTACGGGCATTATTATATTGAATTATTAATTTATACTTGAAGTTAATTTCGTGTATTTTACTTCTCAACGAAGACGTGCCGCATAAGAAAGTTAAAATTTCTGCAGAAGGCGATTTTTCACAGCCTTCATTAAAGCACCAGTCATTTGCGGAAATATTCTTAGTTTCATTAATCATTAACTTAACCTGGGGAGAAAGGCAAGATTTCGAGATAAACAAGCCAGAGAAAGGGTGAAAAACAGTTTCACGGCAGAATGGACATTTAATAAACCACTGTATTCCTCGAAACGATTAAGTTCGATTTTAGAGTTATACTATTGAGAAGAATTAAGTATCTATAGGATAATTGTTCGACGAAAAACTATCATACTGACCTTTTCCTCCTGCTCAAAAAATGTGCGCGAAATGTTAGGTGGTAAGAACATTCAGCCGCCATCTTGTCTTCGATGTACTGTTTTACGAAAGGAAAGACTGTCCTCTCAAGGGCGACGGCGAGGCTACAATAAACTCACTTTCATTGTAAAAAAATACCACGACACCTTAAAGAACACGTCTGAGGAACGTAGCACCCAATACACGTCATTCAGCTCCAGAAAACAGCCTGCAAATGCTGGTACTGAACGTAAACAATTCACAGAAAATGCCTCTATGGCACTTCAACAGCCCATATTGACGCATGCGCATGCAAAATGCCCTCCTGTTGCGGCGATGCGTGCCGAGCAGTGCAAGGTGGATTGTCTTTTTGCGTATTTTCGAAATATATTTCGTGTTTATACCAAAGTTATTTCGAAAAATAATTTCGCTTTAACACTGCCAAGGTGAATCAACACTAACATTAAGACTGTGCATATTGTAAGAGCAATATTATATCAGTCTGACTCGCCTGGAACACATTATGGGGCATGTGTTTTCTAAGTTGCCGATGACATTCGGAATTATCTGCAAGGAAAATTCATGCAGTCTCTTGGATTTTCGTTGAAAAGAGAACTGAAAACGACTAGCTTCAACTTTCCTGTAATCATAATATAATGGATCACTTTTTTAAATGTCTTGCAGGTGTTTTAAAAGAGTGGTTTGTCCAACCCATGTTGGACAGTGGCTTTTATAGCGGCCTAAAAAAGGAAATCGACGATGAATGGAAACATAAACATGGAAAGAACGTCAGTGAAACAATAAAAGAATACTTGGTGACCTTTCTTGGAGAGCCAATCAATAAACTATTGAGGTAATGGACTAAAGTTATAATTCTGGGATATTAACTTTATAGACCGTCATTAATCCGTCACATATGGTATTCGAATCCATCAAAAACCGACCCTTTCAGCAAAACTACAGGAACGAGAAACACACTGTTTAGTTTCAGAAAATAACCATTCCTACCAAATGAATGATTAGCCTTAACTCCGCAGAGTTAATGATCCTTGCTGCTGTCTAAAAAGAATATAGCATCTAGCCTGATAACAAGGATTACCGTGCCTGGGATTCAAAGAAGACGCTTTAATGGTTACCTTGCCAAATTAAAACTGCACAATCAAATTGTTTTAGATATCTTGAAACAGAGCACCTCCGTCACTGCGTTCCCAGCAATGTGTCCAGCGGTTTAGCTAACCTCCCACTGAAGCATGTTTGGTTCGATGGCAAAGAGAACAAGTCCTGGCCAACCAAGCCAGTACTGCCTACCGGTGAACGGCTGAACGGATCGCAGGCCAATTTAAATATTCTCTCGTACTTCACAACCAACAGCCTGACACCTTTGGAAGTGTCTAGCCTTGGTACAGAGCAGCTGAACATTTTTTACCCAACGGTAAGTTTAAATTGAAATATATGAAATGAATCATATTTTGGAAAGTTTAAAGTTTGTCTCGCATATGTATTTACCTTTTCATTACGAATTTTCAGACGGTTCGACGGAGTAATATAAGTCGAGTATATAATTTATACTATTATTCATTCCGAATTTATGTCCGTTTCTGGGTGGCTTTTAAAACTTCCCCGGCTAATTCTTCAATACCCGGCCAGCTACCATTTAATTACCAAATTTGAAGACGTTTGCATGCCCATATCATACCCGCTTTCATCAATCTCCTTCACAACTTGCCCATCTGGTAGTACAATTCCTTCCTTCCATTTAAACAATTTTATCGCGCTTTAGTACAAGTACCCCCCACTTCTTTATCCCAATTCCATCCCTATGAGAATATGTTATCAGAATAAGAGCTTGTAATATAGAGCAAAAGTCCCAGATTAAATATATGGGTGTCTTTATTGATGAACATCTAAAATGGGATGCTCAGCTCCAGCACATTAACAACAAAATAACAAAAAACATTGGAATTTTATTTAAGCTTAGATATTATGTGCCTATAAGTACACTCAAACAACTGTATTATACTCTCATATATTCTTATCTAACGTATGGATTAATGAGCTGGGGTACCGCATACCAAACTAAGTTAAATAAAATCAAAGTAAGTCAAAATAACTGTATTCGCTGCATCTTCTTTGCAAATAAAAGAGAAAGTCCCACACCGTACTTTACACCATTAGAAATCTTAAAGTTGGAGAATATCTTTAAATTAAAAATTGGCGCTCTTGTGCATAAAATTCAATATCAAAAAAAGGATACACCTCCTGCCCTCTATGACTTAGTTCAACCGGCTTCAGCTGTCCATAATTATAATACTAGGTATGCCACTAATCAAAACCTGTGCAGACCGTTTTCCAGAACTTATACTACTACATGAGAAATTACTGCAATTTGATTGGCTTAGAGCAGTGGTATTTCAGCTTACCGTATTTATTCGATTAACCGCCCTGGGCGCTTATTAAATTTTTGGACCTTGAGAGTGGGCGCTTATTCGAGGTGGGCGCTTATTCGAGGCTGGGCGCTTATTAAATTTTCAACATTTTCAGCAAGTGTAGTATGTGTATTTTCCAACAAAACAATAAATGGTAATAACAGAACGCGAAGATGTAACAAAGCAAGGTTCCTGTAAAATACTTTGAAGAAAACTCCGTCTTCGAGGAAGTCTCTTATTAGTATTTATTCAATTTTAGGGGTGGTCGCTAATTTGAGTTTGAGTGGGAGTGGGAGGAAGGTGTGGTGGGGTGGGCGCTTATTCGAGGGTGGGCGCTTATTACCTTTTTCTGCCTTTAGGATGGGCGCTTATTCGAGGTGGGCGCTAATTCGAGGTTGGGCGCTTATTCGAATAAATACGGTAATTTGAAATACCTACATGTTAAAATTACAAACCTTTTTTGGTCAGTAGTATAAACAAATAATAGCATGATTTGTACGTGATTTTTGGCATAAATACCACTCGTGATATTTCAAAATTGACTCAAATTTTACTCGCCTAACGGCTCGTGAAATTACGTATAACAATTTTGAAATATCACTAGTACTCATGGTATTTATACCAAATATCACTACAAATCATGCTATTACCTATACTAATTATGGCCTAGCAAGGTTTAGTGTAGTGGCATCACAGACCTGGGAAGCTACACCTACGAAAATTAAGTATCTCCCCTTGAACAGTTTTAAAAAAGAATATAAACTCTTTCTACTTGACAGTCAGGCATCTTGAACAACTCTCACCTGTTACTTAGTTCTATTTATTTAATTATTTAATTTAAATAGTTTTTTTTAGTACTGTATAACCTCCACCCAATTGTAACTGCTCTGTGGTAGTAGCCAACTCGAAAGCTTGGATACTTTAGCTGCTACACACTCTTTTCCTATTTTATGTTTAATTCAATGTATAGTCAGCTCTGTTTTTTACTTCTTCCTTTTTTTTCCTTATTGTTGTATTGTGATTGAATAAGTGTGAATAAATGAACTTGAACATGAACTATGTCCATGGTAAATGTATCAACTGTCTGCACAAGGGAGTCAATCTGTTCGTAGGATTTCCCAAAAAGTTTAAGGTCATCTATAAACAAAAGATGGTTGATCCATGTACAACACAAAAAGCAATGATAAAGACTATCCCCCTGAAATATCCCCCTATTGTTATTATTATTATCATTATTATTATTATTCGTAATTTCCCTTTTTCACTTTCAGGACTGACCTACCCAGGAACTCTTTTTACAATTCATATTATTCTATTCTCTGTAGCCTTAAAGCAGAAGTTACCTTAGGCATTTGTGACGCTCTCCTATTGTTTCTTTTCTTAAGATCGTTGCTGCTGCTAAAGAAGTGACTGGGGTACCAGACAATGATACTGAAGCTGTGATACAGTTCAAACAGAAACTTAATTCATCAGAAATGTACTATAACACTCAACCATTCCCCCAAAACGAGTCTGACGAAGAAGCTTATAAAAAATGTAGGGATATTGAAGGGGCAAAGACATATTGTCCAAAACGCTGGGAAGCCTTGCAGCTGTGGCTTGCTGATTCAAGAAAGGTACTAATAAGGTGTTAATCTAACAAAAAACCAGGGTATTGTAAGGATAAGGGTAGTCATGTGCTTTAATATTTATAACGCGAACGGAAATGGACGTGTTGGAGATGTGTGTAACCACACAAGCAATCCATGCTCACTCATGTTTCTTGTTCGAATCGGTTTCAGGAAAAAACAATTCTTGGCAGACTAATATCCAGATCCTGGATTTGCAAAAGCTTCCTACTTTCTTAAGATGTAGATACATGTACATCTAATGTATTGTTTAAAGGATGGTCTTAGAAATCCAGATGCGAGCTACTATTTATCATGATAGAATTAGAAAGAGTGGCAGGAAAACACAGTTGATTGCTAGAATTTGCTTGTTTTGTTGAAGGTGATGAGTCTGATAGAGCCCAAGACTCTTCCAATGTTCTACTTCACTAAAGAAAATGCCACCACGCCTACTTGCCCAATTGAAATGATACCAATTCTGGATCCATCACGTAAATTTCAATCTTACGAACCCAGTGATGCAGACTGCACCAAGAGCGCAAAATACGGTGCTCCACTTTTTAAGGAGAACTTAGGTCCTAAATTCGAGGAATATGGCGCTAGTTCTAACATGCTGAGGCCTGGATGGCACACACAGGTAAAAATACGCTTGTACGCATTCTACGGTTTTTAGTTTTCATTTACTGAGTGCATTTTTATTAAACGAATATGTTTCTTCCGCATCTTAAATGACTTACTAAATAAATAAATTGATTAATTATTTACCAGACGCACATTCATACCTCAGATAAATTAAGGCATGGGCAACCAATGATTCAGTGAAAAAGTGATGGGGGGTGGTCTATCTCTGAGCACTGAAGCACTAGAAAGATGAGACTTTGCCAGATACATACATGTATGGTTTCTGTATGCAAAAATTGCCACGTGAACTCCACACGGCCAGAAAACAATAAAAAGTCACAAAAATGGCAAAACTTTTTGTTGTGAGTTATTAAACCAGACTGGTTTAGGACAATGTGTAATGCAAGCGACTACAAAAGTGTGCTTGGCCTCTTACTGTTTTAGAAAATTAACGGTTATTCCAAACTAGACCCAGTCCCCAAAGCAGTTTCATCAGATTTTAACGCCTTCGCTTTTAAGACACAGGAAAAAGTGTTGCCGTTTCAAGAACAAGCTTTTTCAGCCGATGGAGGTCACGTGATCTAATTTGCAGAATTTTAAAGCACGAACTGAAAAACTAAAAATGTGTGTAGCTGGTAAACTTTTATGCGTCTACATCTAAAGCTGTTAGATGTAGACCACCCCCTCACTTTTGAAGTGAGCGAATTGAGGCAAATTGAGGCCCATGCCTTAATTTACCTGAGATAGTAAAACGCCTGAACTGTTACCCAATCATCGATTGATAGAAAATGAAAATATCTCGTGATCTAAAATTAGACCATACCTTTTAAACGTCAGATGCAGGGCAACATAGAACATTTTCAGGATAGCTGCGGTGGTGTCATTGGCTGGCTTGATGGGGTATCTTCGAACACTGCGTTTACAAAAGGCTGGAATGCGTACGCTGAGGAATATATCTTGGATGAAACAGATATCTACAACAATAATCCATTGCAGAAGTATGGAATGCTGAAATGGGAGGTATAAAACTAAGTAAAGGCAGGAACTTTAACAAGGAAGACACCCAGTTGATTCTTGTTGTAGCTAAGTCACAATAAGCAAAATATAGAGGTTTCATCGTTGTTGGTGGAAAGGTTGTTCTGGGTCGGTTAATTCAGAACGGTTGAGATGTGATGTTGCAGTGCTGGAGAGAACTGTAAGTCCAGTGAAGATCGAGCATTCGAACTAATGAACCTGTTTAAAAGTTTCAGGTGGTAGAGAAAGATTATTGATAATTTTATGCATCTTAAGTAATTAATATTGTACAGATTATATCACGTAAATTGAAGCTTCGAGAAAACACGGAGCGGAGACGTGGAAACGTGAATAGGCTTTGTTGCTTCTCAGATGCAATGCTCGACACTAGCGGTATAGACTGAGACAGAAACAGCGTTTTACCATGCTGGGGACTTTTTTCAAGCTGAGCTGCCAACAGATTCAGTGGGGTCGTGATAGGCACAAAAAGTTTTGGAATTCTTGGGGCTATAACTTTGCTTCCTTTAAAGGCATGTTACTGAAATTGATACAGGCAACAATACTTGATTCCAGAAACATTTTGGATAAAGCGTTTCTATGGTTACTAGTAAGGTGACCCTCTAGTGGCCAATCAAAAAATCATAATTCCCAAACTCTTCTCCTTCAAAAGTATGTGACCTGAAATTGTGATACTTTGCAGAAATATAGTGTACATAAAATTGAAGAACTTGTCCATTTGAATTCGCAAATTTCATTTTGTGACGTTACAACTAATTACAACCCGAATTGCCTTTTTGGTCAGGAGAGTACTAATCCAAAAAATGAAGAATTTGAAACAATAACTTATGACAATTACAAAAGTGAAAGTCTCAACTCACTATCTTTTATAGTTTAAGAGATATTGGTAACATTCCATGTATATTTCCAAAAATAGTTTGGACAAATTTGTGGCCAAGTTTTGGCACCTTTTTTTCCAGCGTGTAAAAAGAACTCCAGAGGAAAAGTAAACATTTGAAGTATTAGCACCAACCCTGGCTATGCTGTTCCTGCTAATATACCGATTGGCTATCCCTCAGATAAAGAAATTTAACAATGCAAAAATAGGTACCACAAAGAGAGATCTAAAATTGTAATTTACATACCTATTTTTTCTTACTTCCTGGATTTCAGGTGGTGCGAGCTCTCCGTATTGACCCAGGGTTACATTATTTTGGGATGAAAAGAGATGAAGCCATTGAACTCTTTAGCAACTATACATGGGATAATACTGAAACGGCCGAGAACGAGGTGCGATTTGAGCCCTTTAAAAGTAATTGCCATGCAGATGTTCTAGGCCTTAAAAATTGTTTAACGTGATATGTATGTATCAATTCATTCTCTTCTTCTTTCAGTCGTTCATTCGTTTAATCATCTATTTTAATCATTTAATCATTTAGGAAACTCAGAAAAACCTTATGGGGGAGGTTGAATGCCCCCCCTGTACGTCTGAGGGTTAAAACCATGTAGTTTGAAACGATCGCCGCGATGTATCAAACACCTAGTAAGCAGGCCGACAGAACGAAATCTTATTTCCCGCGTTGCGGGCTACGCAATGTATACCATAACAGATTAGCGTTTGTATACAATGTACAGGCAGCTGTTAAGTAAGCATACGCTAAGTATCTCCTGGCGAGTAGTTCCTGCTATAGTTTGCTCTCTTCCTATAGTTTATATTAGGTCTCATATCCACTTCTCAAATAGATAAATAAAAATGATTGAATGATAATGTCAACAAAATTTGTCTCTGAAATACATTGCAGATTTCATTAATAGCGTAAATACAATTGAATAATTTCAGGTGACGCGGTACCAAAGCGCCCCCGGAAGGACCCCCGCTTATATGATTGGACAATTGATGATTAAAAAAAACAGGGAATATGCCAAGAAGCAACTGGGCCAGAAGTTCAGTTTACGAGATTTTCATTACCAGGTAAATCATCTTTGGCCAAGTCTTTTGAAATTTTTTCATATTCTGTGCAATATCACGTTCTCCTCTGAATCTTTGCTTCGTCTAACAATAATGACAATTTTTAAGGGGCCACCATGTCACTAGTCTCTCTCGCAACCGTTTTTAGTGTCGTCACGAAACGCTCCTCCCCACATGGGAAGAGCGTTGCGTGACGACACTACAAACGGCTGCAAGGGAGACTACCATGTCACGAGAGTTCGGTGTTTTAGGTCAATTCTGTACCTACTGTAAGTTATCACTCAGGGCCTTCACCCATACTCAAAATCATCACTTGGGGTTGTGAAGAAAATATCAGAGAAATTTCACCGACAAGCACTAACCATAACAATATTTTTGGTGATTTTTAAAGGCATAGCATTAAAACATGAAGCCAAGCGAAAAGTATTTTTGACGTGCAGAACTGGGCGAAAATAGAAATCATTCAGCAGCTTTTGTGCACCAGGATATTGGAGCAAAATAATGTAACAAAGAACATTGTGTTTTTATTTAGATTCTCGCACAGGGTTCTTCACCTTTGGCTTACTTAAGGAATCACGTGGAAAAGTACGTCGCCTGTGTCATAAACAAGGATGCAGAGGGCTGCGACATTGTCCTGAATCCTCCAAAGAAACCTCCGCAGGGATCAAAATGAACAGGAAACTTGCGCTGATCACGGTTGTGGAAAGTTTATGGACTGGCTTTCGCTATAAGTTCGTAATAGCAGCGTCAGCTACCATTCATTTCTTCAAAATTGAGCAATTAATTCCGTAATTAATTTGACAATCTGTTAATTTCCTTATTAGCAAATAAAACCTTGTTTAAGAAAAAATTTACCCATTCTTAAAATTAGGACATCGATCGTTTCACGCTGGGTCAGCTGCATGCAAAAAGTGTTCTATTCCAAACTACTGTAGTTTAATTTTTAACTTTTTAGTTTGAGCAAAGGCTCTGCAGGATGACAGAACTCGGTATTTCCTCCCAAGCAAAGCTCAACTGGTTGAGAAGTTATTGAGCTGTGAATTTCCCGCCATTTTGTTACTAAGTAGAACCTCGATAACTCGAACCCCCTGCTACCCCGCACTAAGTCCCATTTCCCTTAAATTTCACCCCACTTTTCAGTCATTTGTACTCAGTTAACTCGAACTCGGATAACTCGAATTCCTCGCTAACTCATCCTAAATTTCCTTTACCTTGATCAACATTTCATTTACATTTACCCCGATAACTCGAATTCTGGTTCTGGTAACTCCAATCGGATGCCATTTCATTAGCTCTTCTTGTTGTGTAATAATCGATAAAACCGCTAAAACTAACGCTACCACAATATGATTTTGATTGGTACAACGAACAGATCATATTTTATCATAAAAAGCATAATGAAGGGATCATGTTACCGTTTCTGATGAAAGTAAAATTTGCACTGCACTATACACTGAAGTATTTTACTATTAAACTATTTTATTATTAAGATGGTACATGTGACATTCAATCGACTCCGATAACTCGAACCCCGCTAACTCGAACTGTTTTCATTTCTCTTCAGAGTTGGAGTTAACGAGGTTTTACTGTCAGTATTTTTATAAACATTATTGACCTTTAATGTCATTTCTTTGCAACCAAATGAGGTTTTCAAAAACTTTTTCCACATTTCAGTTTACCTCTGAGTACTCTTTAAAAAATTGCTGACTTGTTTTGTTTAGAAGCCGAAAATTATTTTTTGCTGTCAATCTTATGACGTCGGTTTCCCCCCCAAAAAACGTTAAAATCCAAAATCCAAAAACATACGATTGTTGGGACTACCAAGTTCTATGTTCCTGAAAATTCTTAGCTCAAACGGATAAAAATTGCAAAACTAGTTTTGAAAGAGACCATTTTATGGTTGTAGCTGAACCGCCAACAGGCTCAACCAGTAAATGCACTTCACCCGATATAAACTAAAAATCGATCAATCGCTCTCTGATTCCTTAGGCGTAAGAAACACTAAGTTGATACACTTTCTTTTTTCGTCAAAAACTAACGGCACTTTCCTTTAATTCCTGTAAAAAAGGGTCATTAAGTGTGTAAGGTCAATAAGCTATGATATAAAACTAATATACTGATTTGAGAAAACTCAGTTGGCGCTTTTCAAAACATCTCTCAAACATTTTGCATTTATCATATCATTAGTGTTTTTTATTAACACTGAAGGCAACCTAAAAGGTAGACGTCCCCATTAAAAGCACGCTGTAGCTTTCTTATATGACTGATGTTACGGAGATGATAAAAAGACGATTTGCAAATACTTGCAATATGTTCGTTAAAAAGAAAATGATTGTCAATAAAGAACACCAATATTTCTAGCCTGCCGTGAGAAGCGGATGGACTCACTGACGACAGATGTCTTGAAAGATTGGTCTAGGTAGATGTTTAGCGTAGATTACTAATAATTCAATCTTATCTTTGTTCAGTGTAAGACGGTCAACCAGCATCCAGTGATCAATCTCATGTACACAACGCTCAATGTTAGACACAGCTATAATCCCTAACACCAGGTTTAGTTGGTTGAAAGGACAATAAAGTTGTGGGTCATCAGCATAAAAAGAAAAACTCAAGTTGAATTTCTTAACAATGTCGGTAAGCGGTGAGAAGTGTAAAGAAGGTACAAAATGGGTCCCAAAACAGATCCTTGTGGAACACCACATCGAAGAGCATGTTTCAAGAAAGGTCACATACTATATGCGATAGGACAGTTAAGATTGAAACCATAATTATAACGCGGTTTGCCGGTAACTCCAAAGCGCTCTTGTAGGCGAGAAAGGAGAATATCGTGGTCAACCGGATCGAAAGCAGCAGAGAGATCTAGAAGTAATGAAATTACCGTTCAATAGCTGTAAGGATGTCGTTACGCACGTGAATGAGAGCCGTCTCTGTGCAGTGATACCGTTTGTAGGCTAGGCTGACTGAAATGTCTCGTTCAGATGTTTTTGTTAAAATAGAAGATCAGTTGGTTAGCAACCAACTTCTCAATTTCTTTGCTGATGAAAGTAAGATTTGAAACAGGACGATAGTTTGAAAACCGCGTATGATCCAGTGAAGTAATTATGGAGAGAGCGTAGCTTAGCAACTTTTAATTGAGAGGGCATTTGGCCAGATTGCAGTGAAGTATTAATAATCTTGGACATAAATGGAAGCAGTGTACCCAGAGCGTTTCTTGTGACATAGCTAGGAAGAGGGTCAACATCACATGATTTGGAAGATAACTTCACAACACTGATTGCGGACTTCATCAACGATTACCATACTGAACTCATCAAACGTATAAGGACACACCCGGTCGACTTAAGAAACTGGGTGGACGCGAGCAGCATCTAAATCGACCCGTATTTTAGTTATCTTATCAGAAAATATCTCGACAAACTTATTTGCGAGCTCTAAAGACGAGGTGCAGGGCGGATATGGTGTATTACACTATGCAATCGATAAGAAGTTTATAGTCCGACTGATTATCATTGATTAGTACAGAGTGGAGTGTAATAAGTTGTTGACGACACGGCATTGATCAACCGGCGATAAATTAGAAGTTTGATCCTTCGCCAACGCCGTTCCAATCTCCTGGGATATTTTTTCGAGTTGTTTATTTCGTCGGAATACCAAGGTGCAGCAGGACGCAGATTAACGGTTTTGAGAGGATTATGGATACTTAGTAAGGAACTTAGAAAGTCGTTATACTGAATGATTAGATCATGAAGGCACGGAAGCTGCATAGCAAAAAGACTCGGAAGACTAGAGTTTCGTGACATCAGAACCAAAATAATCAAAGTCAATAGAACGAAGCTTTCTAAACGTAATGACCTGTAATGAGCTTCTAGTCAAACGCTGGCTTTTTGAGCATCAGGTAAAAGTGAACGGCAGCGTGATCAGATTTAACAAAAAGGAAAACAACGTCATAATCAGATTTAGTGATAACAAGATCTAGTGATCAGAAGATCCACGGTGTGACCTTCCTTCGTGCGACCTTATTGAATTCACCATTTACAGTCAAGCCAGGTTAAGCGTACCCCCAAGATTCCATTAATGAAACGACTATTTGAAAAATGAAACCGTTAGTAGTTGCCGCAACCAGTATGAAATCCAAATCTGCGTTCCTGCATGCGTAATAAGCAGTGAATTTTTTAAAGATAACTTCACTGCATTCGATCAGATTGAAAATCTTTGAATTGACAAGCTTGCTTTGAAGACATTCCCATCAAATTCAAGAATGGTGATATTCACAATAAAGACGGATTATCCGTCTGAGACGGGTTATCCGTTGAATAATTAGCGTCAGACAGATAATGTGTCTTAATTTGAAAATGGAAGGGTCTTAATTTTGGATGGACAATCCGCCTGATTTTATCCCTGTTTTTCCGTCAATTTTGACGGATTTTGAAGACAGATTATAATACCTCGCGTTTCAATTCCCTGTTCATTGCACAAGCGGGAACGCAGAGACGAATCTGAAATCTACTGCTAGCACTTTCTAACGGATTCAACTGTGGAATAATAAATTCATTAATATTGGGGAATACGCTCGGCATGGCTTGACTGTGTAAACATTTCCCATATAGCATCTTGTTTACGCCTCAAAATTTTGCATAATCATTGTTTGCAGTTTTTCCTGGGTATTGCAGTCGTCCCGGGAGAAACTAAAGACAATGTTTAGGCCCTGTCCACACGAAACCTTTAAATCCGGTCATTCATCCGCGACATATTCGTGTAAAAAATATCTGCGGTTTTAAAAATATCAGGATTGGTGTGGACGGCGCCTTATAGAAATTTTAGTGGGCCCTCGGGAACAAGGCAAATTATGCATGGGCAATGTAAAAAAATGGTAAATTGGGTGTAAGTCAACAAGACTGAAGGTTCATTTAAACGCGAGCAAATGACCGTTCACGTTGTCCAGGTTTCTGCAGCTGCTATTGGTGAAATTATTTACGGTCACCAAAAAGTACTTTTCCGTATTGGCGTTCCGTACTCCCGTTCTGTCAACCTTTTGCAGCACAACTTGCTTCCCTCGACAAATGACTCTTTGCAGTGAATCTCAGGGTCACTTCTGCTGAAGACTTCAGAAGTGGCTGTGCTGTTCTTAAAGTTTCTCTCTTACACACACAATTAAAAACACACACTCCGTACAAGTTCGCAGCAAGGTTATTACTCCTTCTTAAAACCTACGACTTCAAAATCCTATGCAAACGCAAGGTGTCGAGCAAATAAGAGCTATTGTAAAAAGTCTAGTAATTAATTAACAGTTAGAACGGCTTCCGATTAATATGGCCTTTAGGGCACGTACTAATTTACAATTGATCCAGATTAGAAATGAATCTTTTACAGAATTAGTCATGCAATGAATAACAAAATTACAAACTACAACAATATAAGTTCCGTAATCGCGTCCTACGGAAAAAGGGCTTAAACAAAAGAAATCTGCCTAAAAGAAATAACTATTGATCATTAAGCATTCTATGACAGGTGGGAACAAGGTGTATTATGGGCAATGTAAAAATATGGTAAATTGGGCAGGTGTAGGCACATTTGAACGAAGGCAAATAACCGCTCACGTCTGTTTACTTAACAAGTAACCAATACTTAAATTGCGTGATTCAGATATTTCTATCGATGACAGGAGAACCGAGGGAGGACAGCAAGATGGTGGGTGACGAGAAGTTGAAGTTGAAGCAGAAGTCGACTGGGAAAATTCTTTTGTGCTTGCTCGCTGCCATTGCGATAATCGTTTTAATTGTAGGAATTGTTCTAATCGCGCTGGCTGCAAAAAAGAAGGATTGTGATGAAAAGAGCAAAAACGAAGCTGCTGGAGGAGGTCCTAGCGAGCCGCAAACATCGTTTTGTGATTACTCGGAGGAAGCAAAGCGGATCGACCTGAATGGAATCATCTTGAGGGCGAAGAGGAGTTATTACGAGAATCACCCATTCCAGTTGACGAATGATCCTGATGCAACTCGAGATGACATCAAGGAGAAGTACACCGCTTACAACCCAACACCAGAATACATCAAACAAGTCACGGATGCAGCTTGGAAACTATTCAAAGAAGTCAATGAAACCAAAGTGGAGTATGAGAAGCTAAAGCCAAGAGAAAGAAAAGCGTTATCACAGCTCAAGCACTATCTAAAGACGGTGTTCGGACAGCCGTTTGATATGAACTATTACGCCGGGGACTGGATGATGGGACCAACTTTCTATTGCAAACAACCGATCTGCGATGTCGGAAAGCATTTGCAAGAGATGCTCAAAAAACTCAAGCCTAAAACGCTGGAAGACATCGACGAGATAGAGAGAAAGTTAAAAACTCATAAGGATGGAATTTTGAGGTATATGGAAAACGTTAAGATGGGAAAATTACACGGGATGGTTTATAGCGAAGAAGCTTGCGTTTCTGGACGGAATGCCTTGAAACGGAAATATCTCAACATCGCCTCACGTAACGAAACAGGTAAGTTTCTGGTTCAATCAATGAATTGACCGGCCCTTATTATAAAACGTTTACTTGTGAAATTCATTTCCCTGTAGTCATTAACTGAATGTTTATAGTTCCAAAGTTGTTTGCACATTTCACTATTGATCCCGTATGACCACTTTCTTTAACTCCCTGACATTATAATACAACTTATGACCATACAGGAGATCACTTTCGAAGGAGTCGGATTTATTACTCATTCTCAACACCGACCAATATGAGCGGAATTTATACAGGCGCAATGGCGTGTTACTTTAGAGCCTGATCGGTTATAAAATGATATATATGGACAGGAGCCGGCTCCTGATATGGAACATTTTTCACAGATGGTCTATGAAATTTGTACGTTTTTTTCACTCTTCAACAATCTACTAGGTTAAAAATTACAATTAAAAAAATCCGGAAAAATAAAGTGAGGCGTGTCGAGTGGCCAATATTGCCAATACGCATCACAACCGAGTGAGGAACCCGGGGGGACGGGGGGTACTCCCACACATAACCTATACGGGTATGTGCCGCCCAAAGGGGTCGTGATTTTGAAACTCCTGATTTAGAACGGGGTATCCATTTCAGAGGCGTTTTCTAGAACGGGGTATAATATTTCGAACACACGAAAGCTCCACTTTTGTAAGCAGCCATTTGAAATTATTCAAGGACAGATTGCTTTTAAAAATACGGTTCAATGCTTTAACAAGCAAACCGTTGTACTCTTGTTGCACCCTAGAACGGAGTATAAAAAATTAGCCCATTTCTAGAAAGGGGTATCAGTTTTAGGGCGAATTCTAGAACGGGGTATAAAAAATTGGCCCACTTCTAAAAACTGGATATCAATTTTAGGGGAAATTTTTTTAGAACGGGGTGCCAATTTGGAGTCCCGGGCGGCACATACCCACCCAAAAAATATCCAAGTGCCCCCTCCCACCCCGAGGTGAGGAAGAGGCAAACCAAGAACCAGACCAAACCTTATCCCTTGATTTTTGACTTAAATTACATTTCAATATTTCCTTTTGAATCATAACACCCAAAAATCGTTATTTAGTAACTTAGCAGTAAATCCTTACTTTCTAGTAAAAACCAAATAGCACCAGTCAGTTAAGGGACATGGGACACGCATAAGCACGTGTTCGCTATGAACAATACTTCCAGGTGAAGATCATGGGCAGAATTCAGAGTCAATTTCTAACATTTGTAAGTCATTGTTCAAACAAAATTGTGATGGTAGCGAAGAAATTTACACTCTATCAACAAACTGACAAGAGTAAATATTTAACAAAAAAAATATTTCCGTTGCTTAGCTTTGTCTTAATTGGCACGTATAATTAAACTAATAATGATCATTAACATTCTTCCTGACTTCTTAAACGGAATCTCAATCCATCTATTTCGAGAGACTGAATTTACAAGTAAAAGAAATGAATTATCTTGAGTAATTTTCCGTTTGTATTTCGTGAGTTCTAATCCCTCCCGGGCTAAATGTGCAAAGCGCTCTTTTGTTATCAAATCTATTAACGTGCGGGAAACTAACTTATTGACTTACGCCGCAACTTTATTAATAAATGAAATGATCCTTTCTATGGGGCGCCGTTTGTAAAAAAAATGATTTAGCTTAATTTTGTCATTTTTTTCGTTATTTATTAAATAAAGTTTTCTGATATGATATCATACGTCAATGATTTGATATAATAAATGTTGATTTCAAATCATGCGTTTATGATTTGATATAATAAATTATTATTTAAAATCATGCGTTTATGATTTGATATAATAAATTCTGATTTCAAATCATGCCTTTATGATTTGATATAATAAATATTGATTTCAAATCATAAGTTTATGATTTGATATAATAAATCCTGATTTCAAATCATTCGTTTATGATTTGATATAATAAATCCTGATTTCAAATCATAAGTTTATGATTTCATATAATAAGTTCTGATTTTAAATCGTAAGTTTATGATTTGATATAATAAATCCTGATTTCAAATCATAAGTATATGATTTCATATAATAAAAATCATTATTTGATATCAGTAAAACCATGATTTAATTTAATAAGTAATAAGTAACCGCGTGACTTGGCACGTGGGTTCCTAGCGCGGGAATAATCGCAAAGATGGCGACACAACCAGATCAGCTATCGAGGTCAATCGCTTCTAGGGTCTCTAGAGCCGTAGAAAGGGCGGTTGACCAAGCTTTGGCATCCCTTCCGAACATATATATGCTGCTGCGATTTGTCGCCAAACCAGAGTCTCAATGTTACGCCTGTACAATGATTTTTGTTCGCCAAGGACGCTTGGATCGATGTCACTAACTAATAATTTCTCCTCCCGGTGTTGAGGTGTAAATAGCCCTTTGTTTGTCTCGATCTCTTGTTCCCTGACGAACTGTCTTGTCGCCTCACTTTGTGAAATAGAAACAATCATTAGCTGTATGTTATTTTAGTATGGCTACTAAAAGGACATAACAAAGGAAGCAAACACATCTAAAAGTAAGCCGCGCGTATCACGCAATGCGCCAGACAAGCGAAAGGTCCAAAAGTCCTCTTTCCCTCGTAAATATAGTCATAGCTTTCCGATTAACACGCAATCCCCTTAACTAATGATGCAGTGCAACATGTAAGAAATAGATGAGGCGCTTGGAAGACATCAATAATGATTTTTTTGTTAATCAAAAAGGGGGAGGGAGGGGTATGTGCCGCCCGGGACTCCAAATAGGCACCCCGTTCTAAAAAAAATATCCCCTAAAATTGATACCCCGTTCTAGATATGGGCCAATTTTTTTTATATCCCGTTCTAGAATTCGCCTTAAAACTGATACCCCGTTCTAGAAATGGGCCGATTTTTTATACTCCGTTCTAGAAAGTTCGTAAATTGAAATAGCCCTGTTTTTTTAAAAGATATTTCTTTATTTGTTCGACTTATACATCAAATAGATGCTTCTTCATAATCAGCAACAATTTTAAGCAGAAGATAAAGCCATGATCCACAATTTTTTTATACCCCATTCTAGAAAACGCCTCTGAAATGGATACCCCGTTCTAAATCAGGAGCTTCAAAATCACGACCCCGTTGGGCGACACATATACCCGTACAGGTAATGTATGGGAGTACCCCCTACGGATACATCAATGTTACATACCTCTTGTGTCGCAGCAGCAAAACCTGAATTGCCAGGAAGGCTCGGAAGGGATGCCAAAGCTTGGTCAACCGCCCTTTCTTCGGCTCTAGAGACCCTAGAAGCGATTGACCTCGATAGCTGATCTGGTTGTGTCGCCATCTTTGCGATTATTCCCGCGCTAGTAACCCACGTGCCAAGTCACGCGGTTACTTATTACTTATTAAATTAAATCATGGTTTTACTGATATCAAACAATGATTTTTATTATATGAAATCATATACTTATGATTTGAAATCAGGATTTATTATATCAAATCATAAACTTATGATTTAAAATCAGAACTTATTATATGAAATCATAAACTTATGATTTGAAATCAGGATTTATTATATCAAATCATAAACGAATGATTTGAAATTAGGATTTATTATATCAAATCATAAACTTATGATTTGAAATCAATATTTATTATATCAAATCATAAAGGCATGATTTGAAATCAGAATTTATTATATCAAATCATAAACGCATGATTTTAAATAATAATTTATTATATCAAATCATAAACGCATGATTTGAAATCAACATTTATTATATCAAATCATTGACGTATGATATCATATCAGAAAACTTTATTTAATAAATAACGAAAAAAATGACAAAATTAAGCTAAATCATTTTTTTTACAAACGGCGCCCCATACCTTTCGTGTTTTTTTTTTTAAGTTCTAACCATTCTATTTACGATGAACCTTTTTAAAACAGGAAAAGGGAATTTACCGCTGAGTTGTCTCGGATATCCCTTTTGTCAATATTTTTTTGGCCGTAATTGCAAACCGCGGAAACTTCAACACCTTGAGCACGTTTTAGCAACGGAATTGTGAAAATTGTAGCTTTAATTGCGACATTTACATCCTTCGATCTACTTTGGAGACTCTTTAGACACTATTTGCTTTCCCTTTACCATACCAAAAAGTGAACAAGGCCCGACTTTTAGAAATTTGGCACATGGAACACTGAGTCAGCTTTCCGCATGACCAATAATTATATTGGGGATTAAACCAACCTCCAGAAACACAGACTGGGAATAAAATCGAAAAAGCGTTGGATTAGGAAATTGTGAAGTAACATAGCCAGTATTGTCTGCGGCTAAATCCCTTTGAAGCACAACTTAAACGAGTTGAGTCACGAAATTTATCAAAATTAACTGCCAAGAAACCTGATGAGTGGAATATAAAAATAGAAAGAGTTAAAAGAAGCTAAGGTATAAATAACACAAGTAATACAAAAGGAGGCGCGGATGGACAAACTTGAGGAAGATTGAAAAGGATTGCAATTGTGGTTTTTGAAAACTTGTTAGCCTAAGTTCATTCTTCCTGTTTGTAGCGTTGGATATAAGGCTTATGAGACATATTTGTTTGACACGAAGCTGTGATTTTGTCATTCACATGTAATTTCTCAAATGGCACAGCGAATAAGGACGCATCGTGCTTTTTTAAAATTATTTATTTGTTTTGCCATATCTTGAAATTTTAATTTTGCTGTCGATATTTTGACAACAAACATAGGACTTCCTGGAATACGAAGTTCTACCATCCTGCAAAATTTGAGCTCAAATGACTAAAAAGTGCAAAAGTAGTTCCAAGGTTGCAGCTTTTTGCGTCCTATTGGCCCACCGTGGAATAATCAAATTCATACCTGGCTGCCAGACTGAGGGGAATAAAACAAAAGGAATGAATAATTAATCCCTGAATCTTAATGAGAGTTTCTTTGTTTTGTACTCCTCAGCCTCGGAGCTAAGCATAGTTTTATTCCATTAAGTCGCGCACAAAACCGTCAATATTTCATTGCTTCAAGGTAGGAAGCCGTATGAAAACAGACTTGACTTAGAAAATTAACTGGTCTGTTAAAAGAGCTAAATTAGCGAACAATTCTTGCAAGGACCACTTGGACAAACGGCAGCGAGGGAAAGCCGGATCTTTTCGTAGATCAGAATCAGCAGTATAAAATAACACTTAAAATTGAAGGCAAGGCTGATCAGACAGCTAAGGGTTACAAATTTATTTGCCCAATATTTCGACTAGACAAAACTAAACCCCGACTACTCTCACTCATACGCGAGGGTCTCCTATACGAAGGAGACCTGCTCATCCAAGGATGTAAATGACAGATCTTGGTCTCACTTAGGGACGGACCATTAGAAAACTTATGGGGGGGCGGGCGAAGTACAAAAAAAATATTCGCGCAAGGCAAAATTAAATGAAAAAAAATTCATGCACGCCAATTAACCCTAAAAAATATTTATGCTACGGCCTAAAAAAAATTCATACAAGGAATTTGATAACGAAAAAAAATTCCTGCCTCTCAAAAATTCCCCACCCTCCCCATAACTTTTCTAATGGGCCGTCCCTTAGGGTAGATGGTAAACCAACAGTTTTGACCAAACAGGTACACAAACCATGCACTGTCACCTGTCACATTACGTTCAAGACAGCTGTCAATGTCAACATCTTTAGCGCAATTATTTGTTCTTCTGTTTTAGTACATTTTTAGGGTCAAATTAAGCCTGGACTACACCCACATTTAACCCTCGTACGTAAAAGGGGAGGGGTAGATGCCACTTCCTGCGTTTTTTTATTTTTTTGTTATTTTTTTCAATTTTACCAAGAAGCTATCCATTAGGGATAGCGGAAACGCTAGGGGGCGTTCAAACCACCCCCTCTCCCAATCCTTTGTGCCACTGTGGGGTATGAGTTTACATGTACGTTTAAAGGTTAAGGGCATTCACATGAGCATCCCCGTCCCCTTCACATGGAAGTACCCCCGAGGCCCATGGCACATCTCGTTCATGTCACTGTTGGGCCTTCCCGCTGATCAACATACAGTCCTCGCGGTTATACGTTGATGCTCTTCATTAGTCATGGACTCGTATATTAACTGTTTTGTCTACTTCTGTCGCTGTCTACTCTTAGCATGCCTTAGCATCAAACGGGTGCCAATATTTTGAACCTATATTTCAACAGACAATTATCAGCTACCGGCCATTAAAAAAAATAATAACATGAAAATCCCTACTTACAGGTGTCTTGGAGGAAACGTACGTGCGAAGCGTCCTCGATGACAATTATTTTTCTGACATCACTGAGGAAATGAATACTACATGGAAGGGCAAACATCGTAAATCTGTGAAGCAATCTTTTGATGAATACCTTGTGCAATATATGGGCCAGCCGATGTCAACACTGCTGAGGTAAAAATCTACGAAAAAAAGCGAAAATAGTCGTCACCAGATCTGCTACAGGTCTTCCACTCGTTCAGAAAACCGTTGTAGTACAATCAACTCATCAGATATCGTGTGTGTTGTGTATGATGTGTATTTGTACATGTCATTGCTCAAGACTTGCCTCTGAATGTGGAGCAAACCCCAAAAAATATCAAGAAAAGTTGCCCGAGGCGTTTGACTGCCTATTCTATCACTTAATCAATAAATCAATCTATTTACTTGTTTGTTTGTTTATCTATTAATTAATTAATTTTTTTTTATTCATTCCATATATATAGCTGACTAGTAATGTTACTTTACTAAACGCATTTATCGCAGGTATCTAGAGTACGAACATATCTTCTACTGCGTCCCAAGCAATATATCCAGCGGATTGGCCAATCTGCCACTGGACAATGTTTGGTATAATGGCAGCGAAAACACATCTTGGCCGACAAACAAATCTCTTTCCTTAGCTCCTGACAAGACGTTGAGCGGTAAACAGGCGTACTCGTGGATATTACCATATTTTACTACTAACGAGATGACACCGGACGATGTTCACAAATTGGGATATGAACAATTGAATAAGCTTTATCCGCTGGTTAGTAAAATAGAGGAATATTTTAACAGGGGGGAGTTGCGCCAGTATCAGTGAAACTGTGAAAAGACTCTCGAAGTGGCCAGTTTTCTTCGCTTGATCCCCTTCTTTTGTTTAGGAAAAGTACCACGCAAAAAAGTTTCCATATGGGATTAGACGTGCGAACAATTCTTGCGAGGACCACGTGGACAAACAACAGAGAGGGAAAGCCGGATCTTGTTTAACTTTGTTCTGATGTTTCATCAAGTTTTGTTTCTCTGTGAAAGTCGCGTTAATTTCCTTCATTAATTTTGAAATGCCACCCTCTCCTTCGCGTTAATTTCCTTTATTCGAAAGTTGTTTTCTCTTAAATTCGCGTTAATTCAAGTTCCGTTAATTTCTAATGCCTTTATCACTGGAGCGTTAATTTCCTACAAAAAAGAATATGCCTTTAAGTGGAAGCTATGAGATATAGGTACACAGTTCCCCGTTAGGCTTGCTGAATCCTCACAACACAAGTTTAGCACCTTTCTCCAAGGTCTCCTCGATGTGTTCAAATGTCGCCAACGGTGAAAATGCCGAGAGAGCCACAAAACGAAATAATTTTCAAAAATTGCAAGGTCAACACAGTAAAGAAATCGTGCTTTTCGCAATGTCTTCATACAAAAGGAGGTTAGGTACGGTGTGTCTCTCTAGAGGCCAAAACTCTAAGAGTTTTGTTCTGTTTTCCTCCGGGGGGAAGGGTGCTTCCTATAATGGCCCGTAAGGAAAGGCTGTGCCCGAAAGTGGTACCTTTATTCACATACAAAGGTCGTGATTTCATGAGTTTTTCTAGCGGTTTAGAAGAGGAAAGCAGTGTTATTAAGTATGTATGAATACCTTTTCTAAAGAAAGACGGTATATAAAAGGGGGCTAAAGTTTGGAACTCGGAGAGTAGTAGAGATGAGTTCTACTTTTTGCAACAAAATCTGCACACATTGCGCGTTTTACCGGTCCAAGGCAAAATTATTTTGCGCAAGTGACCCAGTTCCCGTGTATGGCGTGACTCCGCGTAATTCATGCAACTTGCAACAACTGACAGGTTTGAACGTGGGTCGCAAAACGCGCAAGTCGCTTTTCCACTTATGTCCTGGGTTGAACGCAGTCGCCAAGTTTCGCGTTTTTTTAACTCGTTTTACCGCAGCTTAACCGCAAGCTCCAGAACCAAATTGTTCCAAGCCATTCAAAGTCGTATCACAAAAGAGTCACGATCAATCAAAATCATGGTTTTATGCTTCTGTAAAAATTTAGAGAAGATAAAAAACTTGAATTAAAAAATATATATTTTACTTTTCTTGACCTTGACCACTGACGACACTGACACTTTTTTGTTTTGTTTTGTTTTGTTATTTATTTATTTTTTGGTTTTCTTTCTTTCTTTTTCTTGTAATTGCCCTCTTGTTTGTCACATTCAGGCCATAGAAGCAGCTAAAAGCGCTACTAGAATATCAAACGAAAGCCAAGCTATTGAAGCCTTCAAAAGAACGCTCAATGATTCCAGTAACTTTTTTAATGCTGAGGCTTTCCCTGCAAACGAATCTGACGAAGACGCACATGAAAACTGTAATACTATTGAAAAGGCCAAAATAAATTGTCCTCAGCGATGGAAAGTTCTAGAGAGCTGGTTCAATGAGGCTAGAATGGTAAGTTAAAGAATATAAAAACAAGCAAACAGACAGCTGTAAGCGAACTATTTGTTTCACCATTCCCCTTTACATTTTAACGCCGTGTGACTGACTAATAAGAACCCTAATGGGAGCAGGCCACTCTTGGTCGTTATCTTTTGCATTTGCAAACCCTAAGGGGTGTTACGTTTTTGTTAACCTTCCACTGTATAAGGAAATTTTTTCTTTGGACAGGTCTGCTCCCCCAAAATTCTATTTAAGAATTGTCCGACGTTTTTTCTTCAACGGGAGAGATAGAGGCGGGGGGGAGGGGTGGAGCCCACGCGCGCACGAGAGAGAGAGACAAATAGAGATGTTGGTGGGCATGATCGCAGGCCCCTAGGGCTCGCCACACAGTCTCAGGTAATTAGTCTGATGACGTCACTTCCGGAATTGGTAGAAGCAACTATAGGGCATTTGTCATACTCTTTTACCAAACAACACATATATACTGCAATAACATTTTGAATAGATTTCGTTGACATTTAACAAGAACTAGCGTCACAAAACGAACTTAACCTATGACGCACATTATGCTACATTGCCATTTTGATTTGATCATGATTGGCACTAACTATGTCTTGATTTATTTTAAAAACATTGTTCAGGTAATGAGTATGCTGTACCCAAAGATAGTCGACATGTTCTACTTTAATGGAGACAAGCATTCTACTCCTAACTGTCCAGTTGAATTACGCCCTGACCTGAACCCTTCAAGTGGTATACAAAGCTATGATGGAAGTGATCCCATGTGTTTGGAGCCTGCGCATTACAACATTCCGTTTTGGCTAGACAGGTTGGGTCCCAAGTTTTCCGAATGGAGTATCAATTCCCACGAGGCACGACCGGGACACCATATTCAGGTAATCAAGTAGAAGGTACATTTAGGACAGTGTCAGTAAAACAAGGGGTCGAATGCTGTTTTAGGGTTAGGGTTAGGGTTAGGGTTAGGGTTGACACTAACCCTAACCTAACCCTGACCCTAAAACAGCATTCGAACCCGCGTTTCACTGACACCCAATTTAGGACATACTATAGTATAAGCTCGGAACAGTCTTTTTTCTCCAAGACCTCATCTACAAAAGCCATAAGCTATTTTAACCGAAACCGGCATAGCTTGCCAGAAAACGTGCCTAATGTGCATGCTGATATCCAGTTTGAACGGTCAATTTCTTTTTTTTTTCTGACCTGCTGGTATGAAGAATGAATCTAAATTTCTATTGGGGAGGAGTGTTGCGTGACGAGACAAAATTTGGCGCGCAGGCAAATGATCATGAGCGGCGAAGAGCGCGAGCAAGAGTCAAAGCCGCTCATTTGTGCATTCGGCAAACAAAACCAGCTAGATCCAGCTACGCAGGTTAATACCCTCAAGGTGTCACAAGGTTAAACTGGCTAGAGATCGAGTGCAGCGAAAGTCACGATCATTTGCCAGCACGAGAACCCTGAGTAAAATAGCAACATTTCAAGATTCCAAGGTCATGAATTTTCATATTTCAGTTAATTCTTTGAAGTCAGATTGCAATGATGGAGTAACTTTAGCATGGGGTGATACGTTACTGTTGCTTTTAAAAGTGGAGAAAATTTGATATTTAATCAATTCTAATAGACTGCTTGCAGTCCGCCTTTTCTCTTAAAATCCGTCTAGTTCTCGATCTCATCCAGCGCGATTGCAAACCACGATGTTATTATTATCTCGCGGCAAGCGGCTTCGCCGCTCGCGTGCTTAGGTTTTGTGTAGTAACTTTGCAAAGAAAAAATAAGAGACTGCGAGCAGTTTACAATTCTAATAAAAGAAAGCACAGGAAACACACCTTTACAAATCCTCGAGAGTAATGAGAAATTAGGCTGGGTTTATGTTCTGCATAATAATAAGGGTAATCGGCGTGCCACAGATTTATTAAGATTTCACAAATGATAGGGAATTCGAAGTAAAATAGTGTGTCATTTTCTTGCTTGAAGATTTCTCGAGCTTACATAAAGCATTTTTGTGAATTAATACGGTTTTGTTTTTCTACGTAAAGTAAATACCATTAAGACATCTGGAATAAATGTATTACCAGTGCAGGAAGGAAATCCAAGCTGCACGTCGCTCGGAGGTCGATAAATCCCGTTGCAAATCACCTTAAATTCTTCCCCATTATATTCAAAGATCATGTACCTACCTCATATTGTGTCGGGTCTACTAAATCAAACGCTACGCCGTCAGTAAAGCCCTCCGAACACAGACTGAACCATCGTTTATCGACCGGTTTAAGACTCGCGCGATAACCGACACGCGACAAGGCAGGAAGGCGTGACGAACCCCTAAGAAGGTCTGCGTGGGAGGCTAGGGCGCGAACTGACAACAGCAGGGCAGGGGACATGGGTACGTAGGGCGTCTTTTTTTTGTCTTGTCCTCTAGACGAACTCAGCTGGTGAGATGAAAATCAAAGTTTTGTCCATATTCTTCCAGACGAATAACGCTACTGTAGTACTATCACAGGTACAAGAAATCTAGACACCCTGCCAACGGTTGATAAGATATCATGTGACCTCGAAGTGACCAATAAGATTGTGCGCTTTCGGGGAAAAATTCCAGCTATAAAACAGGATTATATTGCTTACCTGTTAAATTACAGATTCAAGGCACCAGGGAACATTTCAAGGACACATGCGGTGGCGTGATCGCTTGGTTGGATTCCAAAACATACTACACCGCGTTTCTGGAAGGCTGGGGTCTTTACGCCGAGAATCCACTGATATCAGATGATACGGACGTTTATGTTGACAGACCAATGAAAAAATATGGAATGCTGAAGTGGCAGGTATGAACTGATGTGTGTCGTATCGACTTTACTTTAAGAAGCCTTAGTGAAGAAGTCTCCTCTTTAGCTTTCCTTTCGCGCGTATAACAAAGGAAATAGTGTGCGTGGCTGTGATTCAAGTTTTGGGGAATGGGCGCTAACTCTTACTTGCCTTCCGAGGGGTAAAGGGACAGGAATGCTCGTTGGAAAGTTAGAGTTTAACCCCTAAAGGAGACCAATCTGGCCAGGTTACTAGACGTTACTCAGGTTTTATCTTACTAAAATAGACAACCAATTACCACACTATTTTTCTACGATTAACGGTTTTTTACTTCCGGTCAACCTTGATCGCTGTGAGTGTTACAAGAGTCGAAACGGCGGGTGTACTTTTCGTGAAACTGTTTCCCAGCAACTCCTTCGGTCACAGATTCATAACTTAGGGCTTTAGAGTCTCAGTTCAGTTGAGTTCAGTTCAGTTTCCGGCAGCCGTTGAATGAGCGTCATTGGACTTAGGCATTCCCGATTGAGCGACACTTGTCCACGTTTAGCAGGACATGTACACGTTGAAAAATTACGTTCATGAATGAAATTATCCATCTCGTCCTTGGTCTTCCTCGGTTCCTTGTGTCCCCGGGGCGTCCAGAACATAACCCGGGTTTTCCGTCGGTTGTCTGTTCATCTCGTCACATGACCAGCCCCGCTTCTCCATTTAAATTTTCTTATCCGGCGTTTCCATGATATCTCGTACTTTAGAGTTTATTATGGCCAGCCTCAGCCCACAAGTTGCTCCAAAATCCGAACTCAATCCGAAATTCTTCAAAAGTTGCCTAAAGCTGCTCGACTTTTCTAAAAGGTTGCTCAAAAATTGCTCATTAATACAGCTATTTTTGCCATTTATCACAAGACAGATGCCGTTGATGCATACACTCTTTTTTTTATAAGAATATATTTTATAAGAATATCGAGGCTGAAATTTGCGAAATTTTAAGAATATTTTAAGAATAAAGCCGAGGCTGAGATTTTGAAAACGGTAGATATAATTTTGTGTGTTGAAACATGTGTAAATACAATACAATTTTATGTTTTTAACTTAACCGCATAAAATTACTCCTTTCTCTGAACGGCGAAACTAGCCAACAAAACGAAAAAACCTGCATTAGCTATAGCAAAATGTTCAACGCTAATGACGGTTCGATGAACGGTACATGTAATACATGTACATATACCCAAATAAATTCTAAAACGGAAATGTCATAAGCTATAGTTTAAGAATAATACAAGAATATTTTTAGCCTAAAATCGGCAGAAAAATAAGAATATTCAGCCTGGGCCAGAAAAACAACATTCTTATAAAAAAAGAGAGTGTACATAATAAGACTTAAACAGTATTATAGGGCTTTTTAATTACCATAAGTTGCTTAAAATTTAATCAAGTTTCCCCCAAAATCAAAAGTTGCTCCAAATGGAAAAAGTTGCCAGAAAGTTGCTTCCGTCAAATAGCAAAAATTGCCAAAACGTTGCCGAACAACTTGTGGCTAAGGCTAACTATGGCTCGAAATCCTTGCAGATTTGAGGGTTAGAATTCCCCAGCGCCTTACACTGACTCCTCTTATGATGAGATTTTATTTTGTGTATTTATTAGTTTTACTTATCAAGTTCTCTTAATTTGTTAGATCTGGCGATCAGTAAGAATGATTGTGGATACAGGCCTGCACTACACAGGAATGAAGAGAGATCAAGCCATCAAAATGTTTGTTGATCATGCTTGGGACGATTCTGATTTCACTAGGAAAGAGGTGTAATTAATTTACTGGCAATGATAACAGATAAAGTATTGCCCAAACTAGCTAAGAGGGTCTCAGCTTTTTGGCATTCCAGTAAGCAACTTTCTAGCAATTTACGAGCACAATCGGGACAGGCCATTGGCAGTAACGATCCTGAAACAATTGCGAGACACATTTCGGCACCAGTTCTCTTATCGTTTTTAAGGTACTCAACGTGAACCCCGAAGGATTTTGAAGTTAAGACTGGTAGTTTTCAGCATAACCCCAAAGATTAGTGTGACGACTTTGCCGATTAACGCACAGGCGGCCCAAACTCACGTTACGAGGGAAAGGTGTAATGTAACTCACATAACATAGGTGACGCGCCGGTGTCGCGTTACAGGCGACCGTTGAAAATATAAGAGACTTTGTATGAGAAATATATTACTGAGATCTGCGAATGCTAAATAACGCTAAACCTTACTTTTTCTTAAATGAAATGAATAAAAAAGACTTACCTGCAATGTATTCCACTGCATTTTGGTATCTGTTTGTCGTTTTACTTGTGGTTTTGGCTTTATTGCGTAACCGCTGTTACTCCTTTCATAGAACGAAGGGAAGGCAGGGTCCTGGACCAGTCGAAACAAGAATGCCGTTTTTTTCGCGGAAATTCAAATCCGCTGCAAGTTTTTCGGCTCCAGCCCTAGAGGGAAACCTCTCCTTCCTCTCTGGGAGATCGGCTCGAGAAAAGATTCATAATTTCCCCATCTAATCGAGCCATTTGTGCCGGACTTCGAGGCACGTCTGGTTTTCGTCCAGTGCCTGTGACCACTGATGCGCTTACCAACTAATTTGCATTATGACAATTAGCACTTACACGATACACGATGGGTGCAAGGGCGGAAATGACACGTCAACTAAACTCTTGCACTGTGAAAAAGTGAGTCCTTGCACCCGTCAATTCGTTCTATGAAAGAAGTAACAGCGGTTACGCAATAAAGTCAAAAACACCAGCAAAACGACAAACAGATACCAAAATGTAGTGGAATACATTGCAGGTAAGTCTTTTGTTATTCATTTCATTTGAGAAAAAGTAAGGTTTAGCGTTATTTAGCGTTCGCAGATCTCAGTAATATATTTCGCATACAAAGTAGCCTGCCGTGCAGGCGTTTTTTTGGGGGGGGGCAAAACCTTGTTCGTGTTCGTAATATTGTTGTAGCCACCATCTTTGATTGTATGACAGTGGAAGATTGGGGAGAGTCGAAATAGTAACCCGTACGGTAGGTGCCTTCTTTGACTTGCCCCATCTCCTCCTCTCTTGGGGAAGTTTGAACATGGCGCTTTCGCGACCAAATTGCGCGCTCAAAGAAAACGCCTGCACTGCAGGCTACATACAAAGTCTCATATTTTCAACGGTCGCCTGTAACTCGACACCGGGGCGTCACCTATGTTATGTACGTTACATTATACCCTTCCCTCGTAACTTGAGTTTGGGCTGCCTGTGCTCCGAAGGAAAAAAAAGATAGTACTGCCAACGTGAGTCGAACCTTTGACCTTCTAGTTACTACTTTAGATGCTCTACCACTGGCCGGTTAACAGAGACTCGTGGCAGTAAAGAGCACTAAACTAGGTTCATAAAAATTGTGATGCAGTAAGAAGGATGATATTGATGATGAATGACGAGGCAATTATTAATACTAGCTTTTTAACATTTAACTGGCTTAAAAGCTGGTGATGATGATAATGATGTTTTTGAAAATGATGATGATGGTGATGATGATGATGATGATGATGATGATAATGATGATGATGATGGCGACTACAACATGGCTAGTAAAAACTGTGTTACCTTATTAATATTTATGATAACAGGTGACTCGCTACCAAAGTTGGCCAGGACAGTCTACATCCTATATGGTTGGAAGATTAGGAATTCTTGAAGCCAGAAACTATGCAAAAACCACCTTGGGCGACAAATTCAACCTTAAAGATTTTCACTTTCAGGTAACTCAGCAAAATTATATTAAACACTCATCCGACTTCGAGACCCTTTGATACCCGACGAAGAATTTCACGACAAGCTTAGTTAAACCTGTGATTGTCTAGAAAACTGCCAACAACCATATCCTTAAGAGAATAAATTTCACTCTTCTTTGTAGGTTCTGTCACAAGGATCGTCACCCCTTGCTTTCCTCAAAGATCACATTACGAATTACGTCGAGTGCGTGAAAAAACCTGACAACGATGGGTGTTCCGATATTTTGAATCCTCCTAAGAGAGATCCACCCAAGGACAGTGATAAGAAATCTGGAATGTACCAGTACTTTGAAGCCTACAGGCATTATGCTTAAAGTTAGATCATTTCCTCTCCAACGGGCTTGTTAGCGAACTTAGAGTACAAAGATGATGGAATTCTCTATTTTCCAATTCCCCATAATACACTCTGTTTGCCCCCCAAATTTTGCTTAAACCATTGTTCTTAAATGCTCCTGGGAGTATTGCATTTTCCCAAGAGCATTTTAAGGAAATAAGTTATGCAAAATTTGGGGGGTAAACAGAGTGTATTATGGGGAATTGGAAAATAGTCAATTACAAAATACAGTTGAAAGGCCACGCACTAAAGAAACTCTCACTTTAGAGCATGTAATTAAAGCACTTTTCAATTTATGTCATAGCTGGCCAGCTGGACAGGTTTAAAATTTGTTTTACGAATACTTCTGCTCCGTTAACTTAATTTTGCCTATACATTGCACCTACTGCAACACACATTATCAGAAACCTTGCAATCAAGTTCAAGTTACAGCCACACTCTGAAACTTCCTCGTACAGCAGACGTACTGTATTTGCCAACTTTGCCGGTTTTTTATTGTTTTTGGCTGAATAAAAAATAGCTTGAAATAATTGCAAAGTGCAAATGCAATAGCTTTACGCCTATAATGCAACTATGTCCACCCTGATTTAAGTTAGATCGTATGTTCCCTTAGTTTATTCTTCATTTTAAAAGATATTTAGTCAAACATGCATTATATATCTCTCAATTACCCTGCCTCAATTCTTCTCGAAAAGAGGAAATTTTATTGAGTGACAAATTCATTGATTTCCCATTTTGTTATAATCATCCTTTTAATCGACTGCTTGCCTTTTCAATTATCAAACTAAATTTAACGCCCTTGTTCTTGGACCATTGACAACACCTTCGATTAAATAGCTTTTTTAATCATTCATAACTTGTATTCGTATCCTTTCTCACTTTATCATTTGCCCACTGTCTATAAATAGTTGTGATTCTAATGGTAGTTTGCACATAATAAAGAACTCTTTTCACTTTTCAACATGGGTTTGGTTGTAAAGTGAATCAGACTCGAAATACTAGTTCATTTTGAAGGCGGTTACGACATATGTTATGTCACGCATGGCCTAAATTTCTCCTTGCAAACTTCAGTGTCCCCTCTAGATCGATTAAGCTGACTAAGGGCCTGTTTATATGAAGTGGGGGACCCCGGTCTAGAGGGGTTGGTTTCTTTTGTTTTCACGCTATAAGGGACACAAAACAAAAGAAACCTACCCCACTAGACCGGGGTCCCCCACTCCATGTCAACAGGGTCTAACGCAGTAAACTGAACAGGTCAGGATCCTAATTTTCACACTTCCTTTATTAATATCAGACACTACCAATCTGATTTCAAGCGAAACTTTTACAAACATCTTGCCTCGAGTAGAACAAATAGCTAAGTACAATGGCAGTGAAGCAATCCTTTAAATATACTACCAGTACAAACCTAGTAAATAGCTATTGAAATGCTAATATTGGAAAATGCTCTTACCAGCACAAAAATAAAATTGCAATTCATAACCACTCTCAGCTTGGTCCAGTAAGAGAGCTTGCATAATTGAGAGAGTGGGGCTTGCGGGGGGGAGCTACTCCCATATAAGAAATGAAGGTATGTGCCGCACCAAAGGGTATAGTTTTTGCACCGTTTTTGCCTAAAAACGGGATTAGAGCGAACTACGTTAGTGTATGAAAGTATTTATCGTTTCTTCCAAATGGAAAAGAAATGAAGAGAAATATGCGAATTCGAAATGAATTTTAAGAAATATTTTTTTGTTGTTGGCGTTCTAATCTTAGCAATGATGAGGCCAGGTCTGAAAACAGGTGTCAAAAATGACTTTGTTTGGTCTGAAATAAAGTCAGGATTTGGAGAACAGGGCCAGGAATTCCCAATTCCTACCACGAATTCCCAGGAGTACCCCCTTCCTCTCCCCCTGGGTGCCCCTCTCCTCAAACGTAAGATGCTTTACAGTGACCTGAAAGAACTACAGACTTGCACTGTATAAAAATTGTGGAAAACCTCATCTCCCTCATTGTTTTAAAAAACTTTTGCACAGTAAAACGCATTTCCTTTCATACTTTCAGGTTGCATTGTACTATCATAATAATAAAATACGAAGCAAAATTGACACTGAGGGAGTAGGCACAATGTTGGCTTTACGTTTATACTTGAATATTGATCAATAAAAAGTTTCTTTTAATAAACGATGTGCTAAGCTGCTCCATAGTTAGTAGAGGAGACTGGTTATGAAAGCCGGCAAACATCAAAGTTGAAAACAATGGTGCTGTAGTTTATGTTGGAAGCACCCTGACCCACAACCCTTTGTTTTTTGTTCGCAAATTATGACTGAATAAATTAATGCGATGTTTCTATTGGTCAGTAAGTTCAAAATGATAGGAATGCTATTGAACGTTGTGCAAGGTCAGGTCCAAAAAAGCTAGCAAAAACATATAACAAAGGAGTCTAACCGGTTTCATAACCATTCCACTTTAACAACTACGGCTGTTCTAAGTTAAGTGGACCAGGTGATAATATAATTAAATTTACTATACAATCCATACAAATCTAATCAAAACGAAAAAAAATTAGAAAAGAAAACATCAGAGAGAAGCAAATAATAATAGTGATAATGATAATGATAAGGTGATAATAATAATAATAATAATAATAATAATAATAACAATAATAATGATCATAATAATAAGAAGAAGAAGAAGAAGAAGAAGAAATCGACAAGTACCAAGACTTAAAAAGAGAGCTGAAGCGTTTGTGGAATTGTAAGGAAGCTGTGCTCTTACCGATCGCCATTGTTGTCCTAGCAGCAATTAGCAAAAGAAAGCGGGACTTGACGGAGGCTTGTTTCTTGGGAACAGCAGGAATTATAAGAAAGGTGATGAATACCGTAAATGACCTAATAGACGCCGACTTTCTAATAAACGCCCCCTCTAAGCAGTTAAAATTGTATTAGACGCCCATCTCTAATAAACGCCCCCTGTCTTATAGACGCCCCCTATGACAATTACTCCAATGGCAAAACGCAAAATCATTCAATTCGTTCAGTTTCTGGCTTGATTAACAAGACACTTCGTAGTTGATCTTGTTCATTGTGAAGTTCAAAGTATAAGAACAGACAAACGATCGCAACACAATAACCCTGAGCGGGGATTCTGACATTGATGTTGGGATTTGAAGTGATCTTGATCTCTAGACGGCCTAGACGTATCAATTGATGGTTGAATATTCGGCTGTTTTAAAACTCTCTGATATTTTCGCCTAGAGCACATTAGTTTGTTGAGCTTGTTAAAATTATGAGAATAAACGCCTCTCTCTTTTAAACGCCTCCTATATATTTAACGCTTCCGCTTGGACCCGTAAAATCAAATAGACACGCTGCTGGCGTTTATTAGGTCATTTACGGTACTTATTAAAACTCTGGCGGTTTCCCTAAAATGAAAGAGGAAATGCCATATATTTTCACCAAACTGCATTGACAGGTGAACGCAGTTTACATAAACGAACAGCAAGAATACCAGTACACGAGAAAGACAATGACTTTCAATATAAGATACACAGTCATTCACGAAGCCAGGAGTTTAGTTATATACATGATCGCGGGGAAACGTATTCAAGACTAGCTATTTATCCTTCAGCGAGCAAAAAAAATAAGTAACTAGAGGACCAAGTACAGTCGTGTTAATAAGGCCAACTTGTTCTACCATTTCAGCGGCGAATTATGCATCTAACAGTCTATAACCATGTCTTATTTTGCACTACGAATTTTTTATCCAACTAATTAACATTACTAAGCGATGACTAACTACCACTGAGTTATACATAGAGCCTTCGTGGGTAAGGCTGCTTGGGGAAAGCCCGCATCAGAGCTGCACTGCTTTCCATATTCGTTTTGATGGGATTCAAGATTAATTCACATCCGGGAGTTTTCGGTTCCAATTTACAGGCAACATATTGCTTAATGTAGCTCTCCAGGAAGCTTGTTGGTGCAGAACCTTCTTTCAGGATCTAAAAAACAATTACGAGTTAGCAGATAACGACAATTGCTTTTCCTTTGTACTATGTGACATTTGCTTCCTAACTCTACTGCCGATAGAAATTTCAATTCAGTTTGGTTTGCGCAGCCACTATGTTTGTTGTACCTACATTGTTAGGACGCATCGCCTCGCAAAAATATCTCTCTTACATTCTCTGGAATATTCTTACAGGTTTTTTCGCACAATCAAAAACTGAATACTAAAATCTCACGAAAGACAGCAAGAATAACATATGATGCTGGTGTCAGTGAAAAAGAATCGTGACCACGCTTTTGAAAGGAAATAGTACATGTTCAATTCGGGATACCGATGGAAAGATTGAGAATCCCTCTGATTTTTTGAAGACCAACCTAACGAAATTTGCAGTCATTTGAGTGAAAGGGCGTCAAAAGGCAGGTTTCTTAAGGTATCAGCCACCCTTCAGGACCGTCCGCGCGCGGATCGCTGTAGCGTTAGTTGTTTTTATAAAAACCCCTATAAACCATATATTTTTTAAAAGCTTAATAATTCCAGATTATGGACTTGAACTAACAAAACGATTTACTTAAATGTGTTTCGAAACTGGAACGCTTTGTGTAAAAGTACACGTCTCTATAAATCATGTTCCACTCCCGCCGGAAATAAACGGAAGAAAACAATTAACACCGCATTCGCTTCTCAACATGTTCTATTAAAAAACCGTGTCTCAGATTTTTGACAAGTGCGTTTGTTTTTCTTTTATTAGCAAATGAAGTTGGGGAAGGCAATTAGTCAACACTCCCTGTGGGAAAAAAGCTCTAGCTTTAAAATGAAACGGAGTATTAAAATTTGCAGACACGGTTTTGTAGAAGAGATATATGGCATCACTCTGGCCAAATTTTAGCCAAATTGATTGAAAGGCTGCCGACTTAGAGTTCAAAATGTACGAGTCGATCAGCAAAATTTGCGTTCGGAGATAAAATAGAAAATACATTTTTGGCGGCATCCTACCTGGAATGAGATTATAACACCTAAATGTTTATTCTGATTGATATCAGAGATGGATATATTTTCTCTAACAATAGGACTTTGACAGGTAACATGTAACAGGAACAAACTTTTTATTGCTATCAGCATCTTCAAGTGAACAGTTTAATTCTCCGTTGGAAAACTTCCACTCTTTTACACCACGAGAAGCACGGTTTAATTCTTTCTCGAGCAAAAGTTTTGCCTCTCCTTCGATCTTTTTTGTATGATCCGCCCAGGCGTTTTTGTTGATCGGCGCCAGGCCAAGGAAACTAAAAAACTCTAAAGCCGCCGAATGTCCAACACCGATTGCTCGAAGGCCAAGAACAGAGGCCCGATTTATTTCAAACGCTCTGCTCTTCTCGGAAGAATTAAAAACAGAATTTGTCTTGTGCGACGGACAGCTTTCATTCTCGCACTGGATTCTCCAGGTAGAACCAAGTCCATGCTTACTCGCTACATTTTTCATGACTTGGACTCTTCCCTGTCAAAATCGACAAGATTCGTCCAGTTTCTCAAGCAGCTTTTCGCTCGATACGATAGCTCGATCGCTTATTGTTTTCCACGTTCCATCAGCAGACGGGGTCGATGAGCTTAATTGGCTTTCTTCATCTGGCTCTTCAAGCTGGATTTTGGAGCGGCTCGCACTCTCAGCAACTGCAGCGTTGTCGCTTTTCTGAATATCCAACTCCTCGAGCCACTTCTCTTGCTGATAAAATGAGCCCTTGTCGCTCTCTTCCAATTTTGCGGCCCATTCTTTGTCAAACTCGCTCTTCGATTTCTTTTTCGCTCTCGGTTCGATGACGAAAACGGACACGACCTTTTCTTTTTTCACCGAAGCAAACGCTAAATATCCACGTAACTTACTAAAGGCTATAAACAACGCGAAGACAATTCGCACGTGTTGTGTCGAAGCACGCACTCCGTATCACGTTACTATATGGCACGGGTATGACAGATCTTGTCAACGATCAATTAAGATGATTAATGAGAAAAAATCTTTTACCCCCGATATCTTTCGACAGAAATAATGTTTTCTTCTGTTTTTTTTTTTTTTTAAAGAAAGTTCTCAAGCATATCTATTTGAAAACGTTGAAACCTCAAATATGGAAAAATGGCAGTTTTAAGGGTGGCCAGGGGTGGCTGATACCTTACGGTGGCTCGACTGGATTTTTTGGGGTTGATACCTCCCAACTTTGAGCATTAACTACGTCGGCATGAGTAAAGATATGGAAAAAAGGTTACCACAACTGTATTATATAAAGATGAAAATGTCTTATGATCTGGTTTTTGTTGCAATCGGAGTCGCCATGGCAACGTAATGACCCCATTACGTTTTTCATTTATCTTTGTGTTTCTCTGTTCCAGGAGTTTTTTGAAGAAATCGCTTTAGGGAGTATATATGTACCTGCTATAATTACCTCCATTATGGCAAAGTTTGAACAAATTCTATGAGAGCGTTTTCGAAAGATAGAATTTGCATCAAAAAGGACCCTTGTTTAAATCTCCGGGATATGCTAATTACCGGGTAAAAAGATTAATGATATATTATAACATCAGAGCAACTCTTTGTGAGAGTTTCTGTGATGTTATAACCCGAGTAAGATAATTAAGTATTCCATCCTACACGATGAGCCGTGACGTTCACCTTTTCGGCTCTCACTGCTGTCTGTGACGACAAGTCAATTATTAGCATACTCCAGATATTTCTTCGGAAAGTAATCGAGAGTTCTTTTTCATGCAAATTTATAACTTTTGCTAGTTGTGCACGTGCATATGAAACTTGAAAACAATGCCAGTGATTAATGAGGACGCTCACTTGTAAACACAAAATCTGGGGGGAAAATTGGTTATATTTGAGGCCCTATTTAAAAGCCTTCCCTATTTTCAATGTTCGTGAAACTTGCAGGGAATATTTCTTAACAATTGATCTCGGGATTGTCGAATTTATAAAAAAATTTATCGAGCGGTTTTTGGAAAAATGCGAAATTTTTAGGCATGGACCAAATTACGTCCAAAAATTGTATCAAAAGCAGTTAAATGCAAGTTAATAAAATTCTTCTTACTCGTGATCGTCCAGAGCAATTCCCCTCTTTTTTTGTATGCAGTTTTCAATGGAATCAAACCACTACGAGATGAAGCCTCGTTCCCAAAGCTTATCATTTTCTTAAAATATTAGCGAATTGTGTAGGTAGCATGCTATTTCACTGTTTTTATTATTTTTAAAACTACATTTCAAAATATTTCGAAAACGCTCTCATAGAATTTGTTCAAACTATGCCATAATGGAGGCAATTATAGCAGGTACAGACTCCCTAAAGCGATTTCTTCAAAAAACTCCTGACACAGAGAAACACAAAGATAAATGAAAAACGTAATGGCGTCATTACGTTGCCATGGCGACTCCGATTGCAATAAAACCCAGATCATAAGAAGTTTTTATCTTTATATAATACAGTTCTGGTAACATTCTCTCCATATCTTTACTCATGCCGACGTAGTTAATGCTCAAAGTTGGGAGGTATCAACCCCAAAAAATCCAGTCGAGCCACCTTAAGCCCAAGAAGCTCCAGCATCACACTTGACCAAGGAAAAGGAAACTTAAGGAGAAAAAAAAAAGAGCGAGGAGAAGAGAAAAAAGCAATGGTTTCACTCGCAATGGTCCATTTGGTGATAACGTTTTCAAAACTCCGAGTACACATAGTTTGTGACAATCGCATAGATTACCATTTTACCGGTTCATATCAGGGATCTGGGGATGGGTGTGAAGCGTGCAGTGTATTTGGGGATAGTGCTGATATTTGTAGCCTTTAGCTGGGTATGACATTCTACAGCCAGCCTTCGACGAGCCAGCGTCGCACACGCAATAAAACTCCGATTAGTAAAGTCGGCCAAACAGAGCCGAAGTCTATGTTCTGGGCCCCTATCTGTGTACCAGGAATTGAGTAAGTCCCATGATTGGCCCCTTGAAAAAGCCAACGTCGAATTGCCAATCAGGATGAAGGGAAATTCGCAGCTCACTTCCGATAATTCTTTTATCCGTTGGGCGCCCAGAACAAGTATCTCGGCGCTGCTTCGCAGACGTTGCTAACGGATTACGATTACCTCTGTGACGCAGGCTAGTCTTCGACGTGTTAGGTAGTACATATGGTTTTCGTTTTGGTTAATATCTTTTATGTCATCATATGACACTAGGTTTTGCGTTGGCAGGCTAACTCGCTAAGCGGACATCATAAATCATTCTTGTGTGTCCGGTTGGGTAGTGCAGGCAACATAGCTTAAGGTTAATTTGATCTCCTGGGCCTGGCTGTTCAAAGTAGGGTTAAGATAACCCAGGGTTTGTTTCACCCTTAATTTTGTCAATTAAATTTACCTGATAATGAAATTCTTTCAAGGTAAATTTCTCCTTCAGCCTCTTTACTGTGTATTCCCTTAACTTTTGGATCTCCAACTGACCAATCATGTATGCGGAAGCCTGTCCCGGGCCGGACTGGTATCGAGTCATCTCTTTCTGTGCAATATCGGAAGTGTCCCATGCATATTTAGCTAGTAGGTCCAGTCCTTCTTGTCGACTCATTCCCTTGCTGTGGAGGCCTGTGTCGAGCACAAGACGAAGTGCGCGCCATAGCTAAGAAAACGACATGTGGATAATTACTTCAGCCAAGAGGCCATAAAACTTCAGATAACTTTTATTGTTTTACGCTGCCAAAAAGTACAAAAGGGAAAAGGACCAAAATCGGCCTCTTGATCGAGTGGAGTGGAGAGGAGTAGAAAGGGGTCTAGTGGATTGGAGTAACGTGGGGAGGAGAGTGGAGTGAAGAGGAGCGGATCTTGGAGAAGAGTAAAGTGGAATAGAGTGGAGTTAGGGGGGGGGGTGTAGACTAGAGGAGAGGAGTAGATTGAAGTTGAGTAGAGTAGATTAGAGTTGATTGGAGTTGAGTAGGGTAGATTAGAGTTGAGTAGAGTAGAGTAGAGTAGAGTGGAGTAGAGTGAAGTGGAGTAGAGTGGAGTGGGGTGAAGTGGAGTAGGGTAGAGTAGAGTAGACTGAGGTGGGGTGTGGTGAAGTGGAGGAGTGGAGTAGAGTGGAGTTTGAATGAAGTAGACTTGAGTAGAGTAGAGTAGAGTAGAGTAGAGTAGAGTAGAGTAGAGTAGAGTAGAGTAAAGCAGAGTGGAGTGGAGTGGAGTGGAGTGGAGTGGAGTGGAGTGGAGTGGCGTGGGGTGAAGTGGAGTAGGGTAGAGTAGAGTAGACTGAGGTGGGGTGTGGTGAAGTGGAGGAGTGGAGTAGAGTGGAGTTTGAATGGAGTAGACTTGAGTACAGTAGAGTAGAGTTGAGTAGAGTAGAGTAGAGTAGAGTAGAGTGGAGTGGAGTGGAGTGGAGTGGGGTGAAGTGGAGTAGGGTAGAGTAGAGTAGACTGAGGTGGGGTGTGGTGAAGTGGAGGAGTGGAGTAGAGTGGAGTTTGAATGGAGTAGACTTGAGTAGAGTACAGTAGAGTAGAGTAGAGTAGAGTAGAGTGGATCGGAGTAGAGTGGAGTCGAGTGGAGTAGAGTAGAGTAGAATGAGGTGGGGTGGGGTGAAGTGGAGGAGTGGAGTAGAGTGGACTAGGATAGAGTGGAGAAGAGTGGAGTGGAGTGGAGTAGAGTAGAGTAGAATTAGGTGGGGTGGGGTGAATTGGAAGAGTGGAGTAGAGTGGAGTAGAGTAGAGTAGAGTGGAGCGGAGTAGAGTAGAGTAGAGTGGAGTGGAGTGGAGTGGAGTGGAGTGGAGTGGACTTAGAAGAGTGGACAATAAAGTAGCAGAGAGGGCCGGTGTAGAATTCTTACGTAAAGTTAAGTCAGATAGAGTTGATTTGAATAAGGAAGCTTGGAGTGTAGGTCCAAGACTTGCATAAATAAAACTGAAGGTAAGGACTTACAGTGGGACAACATTAGTTGACTGCCTTTACAAAAAAACAACCTACCCTCCATTTGAGTGCTCCATATTTTTGCAAAGGGTTGTCGTCATAAGAATCAGTGTCATCAGCAATAAGCATTTCGGCGTATAATCCCCAGCCCTCCGCAAACTCTATGGACTGGGAAACCTGGTTTATCCAGCTGATTACTCCACCACAATTATCCATGAAGTGTTCGGCAAAGCCTTGAACCTGAATCCGAGGAAAATTGATTAAAAAATAATAATAAAAAAAAAACATCGCCTTAACACGGACTCACCAACGTTAGTGGTCACCCAATGTAAGGGAATGTAAAACAGTCTTGGATTCTGGATTCCACGCCCTGGATTCCGGATTCCAGTTAATGGAGTTCGGATTCCTTGAGCTGTATATTCCGGATTCCAAAACTTAGGATTCCGGATTCCACAAGCAAAAATTTCCAGGACTCGGAAATCTGGATTCCTTTACATGGAGCGATAGTGGTACCCATCAAATAACTGCAAACCATGCTGGCAATAATTTCAATGAAACCTAACGTTTGCGAATCCTAACTGGCTGGAGACAAACCAGTTGGCTTCTTACAAGCGTAGTTGAGGAACTGAAGTCGATACCAGAGAAATACAGTGATGCGGGTGGGTCATTAATTCGAAGCTTCGATAGAATTGCAAGCTTAGTTATATTGACGTTTCACCACATTCCCTCCTTTATTCACCAAAACAGATTTTCTATTTAGGGTCAAAGTGGAAAAGTTTAATTTGTGATACTTTTTGCTGAAATAATGTGTTACTATTACATAGCCATTGTTCCACTCTCTTAACCTAATTAAAGATCCCGCGACTGCGTATGTAGTACAATTCAGAGCTTTTGGGAACAAAAACGACGCACAGAATAAGACTGAGATAAAAGAAAACCAACAGATCATGATCAGATAAAGCACTCAGGTTTGGAAGAAATAACACTGATCTACCTGTGTATGGTGTCCAGGCCTGGCTTCGTGAGCGTTCACACTCCATTCGCTAAATAGTGGACCCATATTATCAAGAAAGAAAGGGATATTATACCTGCAAAAAATAGAGTAGATAATTATATTCTAGTTATGCAGGTGCTTTCGAGTGGGATACCGTGAAATATCCCACGAGGGACTTGATTGTGTAAATTGTGTTACTGTAAGGCAATGTTCGCACTATACTAGACTACAAGTAGTCCCCCATTTTTCCTCAGGGTAGTAGAGCGAGCGAAACGCGAGCGTGCGTGAAAATCACCCCACACGTGTCGCCTTTTCTCGCGTGGGGTGATTTTCACGCGCGCTCGCGTTTCGCGCGCTCTACTATGGAAAAATGGGGGACTACTCGTAGTCTAGCACTATACCGAATAGCATTTCTTGGCGCCACGAAACGCTATCTGGTATGTGAGTGTGAACAGCAACGGCCTGGGGCGGCGCAAAACGATCAAACAATCGTTCAAGCACATCGAACACGACGCCGGCGCGGTTGGCCGAGAGGGTTTGGTGCACTAAATAGTTCCAGTCCTCTGAATATTTACTTCCGTCTCAATGGGTTTCAGGTCTCGCTCCTACTTATTTACTTCCGTGACGTTCACACTTCGCCAAAGTATAACACAAAAGCTGTCCGATATGTGACGCCTAACTTTCGAGTCGGCGCGGTGCAACTTCACTGCGTCACAGAAATCACCGACATCACGGACCCGGAAAAATCTCCTCTAGTGTAAACCTAGCCTAAGCCACTTGTCTCAGATTGTTTGGTTAATTCTACCCTACCGACTGTGCCGCCTCGATCGTTCTTGTTTGTGAACAGAAGCCTTATCCTGTATGATTTTCGTTGCGGAGCAAAAGTTATCCGGTATTGTGTTAATGTAGCCTAAAACATAAAATTTCCCCTGATATAACTATGCTAACATGACACTAGAGTGGAAACCTTTGTACTGGATCACAGCCGCTAAAGACTTAGAGTAAAGGTAAAATAACCGAAACGATTTTAATATTTCTTACATACCTACAATTTTCATTACAAGCCTCACCCGCCGCACTATTGTCGTAGCTCTGAGCAGCAGACGATGGGTTGAAATCAGGGGCAAGTTGTACGGGACAACTGGGCGTGGTTTGCTTTTGACCGGTGAAGTAAAACATGTGTATTGTTTTTGGTTCCAAGAAACTCATTGCCTGCAAACAAAAGAGGGTGACAATAAATGAAAAAAAAATTGTCAAACAAAAATGTAGAATCAAGGGAGTCACTATTTATCCAAGAACAAGTTTCAGACTTTATTACCTCTCTGGATGCTTTGAGCCACATTTGAAAGGCTTCCCACCTTTTCGGACAAAACTCCATGGCACCTTTGATGGTACTGCAACGTTTGAAGGCGTCAGAACCCGTCTCATTGGCAGGGAAAGGTTCTTTGTTAAAGTACATGTCCTGAGATGATATCTTTGCCTTGAACTGCTTCACTGCAGCTTCAGTGTCTTCAAGCCCTGTTATTTTCCGCGCAAGAGCAAGGATCTGTGTCAAAAACAACGCAAAAATTGATATCTGTAATAATTTACGAGGAGAAGCATCCTGCGCGGCGATAGTTGAGTCATAGTTTGGACTGAGGAGGAAAAGGAAAATCCAAGAACGCGAGAATTGCCCTCTTGCTTTAGATTCAAGTTTTTTTAACTGAAAACGGATATTTCGAGGTTTTTTCTTTGCTAGAAAAATCAAGACACTTATTGATCCAAATGATCCACCACGGAGGGATATGGGCTCCTGACGGAGGTGAATTATTTTGATCCTATTCAAAAACCGGATGCTTTATGGATCCGAAAAGATTGAATGCAGCTCAGCCAGCGGTATCTCGAAACACTTTTAATACCTACATAACGTATTTCACTACACTGTTCATCTTTACAACCATTAATTTTTGATGACCTCCGACTCGATTGACCACATGGAACGGAACCCCACTGGGCAAAACAATCTTGGATTGTGGATTCCAGGTACTGGATTCCGGATTTTTTTGTCAGTGGAACTTGTATCCTGGATTCCAATCGTTTATAGTTGGATTCCGAACTCTTTTGGCTGTATTCCGAATTCCAAAGCCTAGGATTCCGGATTCCACCAGCTAAAATTTCCAGGATTCCAAAATACGGATTTACTTTGCATGAGGCAATCTCGATCTTTCGAAAAGTGCGCCAAGATGGATCTGCACTTGTTTCAAGTGTAGATCTTACGACAAGAACCTGCTCAGGAATAATAAATTTGCATTGTGAAATACAGCCATTTCAAGTCCTTCCCTAGTAGGATCTAGCATAACATTAAGCAGAAGCTCTTGCACCGTACCTGAGGGTATGTCTTATTCACCATCTCCCAGCCCTTATTGTAAACTTCGTCTGGAGTCATGTCATTTGTGATAAAGAAGGACAAAATACTTTCATGGGTCTGTGTGCCACTAATGGGCTCCCCTGTTGGCAGCTTTCTGTCAGTCGGCTTTGACATATCGGGTTTGCCGTTAATATAAATGTACTTCAGAGGAAGATTATAAAGACCGCTTGATATGTTGCTTGGGACGCAGTGACGCATGTGCTCATCCCCCAAGTAGCTGAGGAAACACAGAGTAAACAGTGGTCCTTGATAAAAGGATTATGGATAAGACTAGTTTTTAACCATTTAAGCCTCAATACCCAAATACAAATTTTCCAGGCTGACTTCCATACTTTTCCTAGTTAAGAGAATTTGTTAACAGATCAAAGCACGTTCCCCTTAAGTGCTCAATTAATTAATTCTCATGACTTTTCCTCTTGTTCAGGTATTTAGATTGTTAGGAGAAAATTTATGTTGGTCACTTTTGGGACTTAAAGGGTTAAAGAAACAACAATTTAACTGTGGCAGTCTCTTAAAATGAGCGGTTGAGCCATCTATTTACAGCCTAACGCAAATGAAATCAAGCGAACGTGAAGGAAAAACGTTTCATTGAATTTACCGAGATGCAAAGGAAAGGAAGGAGGTTCTTCTTTCACCTTAACCTCTTTTTCTACTTCATTTTCAAATACGACTGCTTTAAGTTTGGCGTATTGGTTGAAATCCGTCACTTGACGGTAAGGTTTCTTATAACCCCCCACTACCCCCCTCATGTTGATTTTGGCCGTTTTAGATGGTTTTTCATTGCATATAATATGAAAATATTGGTCAATATTGTCACATATAATATCTCAGTGAGCTCTCTTCAGGCTCGTCGTAGACCACTGAGACCACTGTCGCACATGTCAATATTTTTAATGATTCAAGTGTTCCAACAGTAAAGAAAACGAGTCAGTCGTACAAAAATCGGTGAGAGTACTGACCCTTTCACTCCAAAACTATAGTTAGAGTATTTCTGGGTAAGGACTGCCTTTTAAATATGTGGGCAAAATCCTATGGTATAACCATTGGAGTGAGACCTCGGCAGCCGCGTTTGCATATTTTTTAGTAAATAAATCTTAGAAGCTTTCGAAAAGAAATTCTGAATTATATATTAAGTTTTTACTACCATCACCGTTAAGAGTGAAAGGGTATTGACTTTACATGGAAGATCGACTTATTACCTGAGCAAGTCATTAACTGGCGCGCCGATATTCTCAATCAAGTATTCTTTCATCGTATCTGTTATTGTCTTGCCTGTCCGTTTTTGCCATTCCTCTGTCATTTTTTGTGTCATGTCTTCATAGAAAGACGGCTTCAAAATGTCCTTCACAAAGGTTTCTTTCAGGACCCCTGTGAAAAGATAATGTAAAAAGATTTCCAACCTTTTAAAAAAAATAGCTGTTACCATTTGTAGACTATTCATTGATAATTAACTGAAGACGTTTACACACCTATAGGCCAGTAAGATGCTAAAACAGTCTTTTATCTTTACGGTAATATTTACTCATTTAGTGCCTTTTTAAGTGTTAACTCATTTTACCCAACCCTCGTGGTGTAAATTTTTTGGATAAATCTGATTTGAGATGTAACGAGGAAGTTACAGAAAAAAAAAGGATCCAGCGAAAGCAATTCCCTTCAGTTAAGGCCTCGTTTTCCTCCTCTCAATTCAGGCTATGTAAGCCGGCTAATTTGTAACTCTTGTTTTTATAAGATGGCCGCTTTCACTCTTGTTATTGACCTACACTTGACTAAGATTTGCTGTCTCATACCTTCTTTACTTATGGCAATCTGGCTGAATCGACTCTTCATCACGTCCAGTCCCGCTCGACAGTCTTCTATCGAGCCAACCATACCGGATCTGACTCCTAGTTTTACATTTTCGATATACTGAATGATCGATTTCTTGTACGCCTTCAGGATTTCACGAATGGCGTCCATATCGCTTGTATTTTTAGGCGCAAATGACGCCAGGTGACCAGACATCTCTTGGCCAATATAGCAGATCGGATGCCAGCAGAAGAAATTCGGGCCTAACATCCAATCGGCGTTGTAGTAATTCGCGCCATAGGGAAGCCCGAAGACATGCCGAAGGTATAACTTAGCCTGGGATATAGCCTTTCTCTCCCTAGGCTTCAATTTAGCTAAGTCGATGTCAGTGTCGTTTATTTTCGCAAGCAATCGCCAAGCTTCGTCGGTTCTTCGTTTGATTTCGGAGGGGGTCGGGTCATAAGGTTTGCAATTTTGGCGAATCTCTTCTTTGGTAACTTGTGGCTTGTAAAGCAACATATTTGGATTTAGTTCGAAAGCCTTAGCTTGCACTGAGTCAAGAAGATTATACAAAGAGACCCTCATAGCTTCTTTTGATGGTGCACAAGCGTTAACAGCTTTTATATTTTTCTCTTCCCTTTTTTGTGGATTTGACGTTGTTTTCACATCGCATTCTTTCCTTTCCTTTGCCAACGAAAGAAGAACTATCCCAGTAATCAGGCATATAACACCGAGAAGGACGATAATTCCAACGATTAATCGCTGGCTGTTGCAACACCTCCGACCTTCTATGTCAACATCTCTAATCGAGTCATCTGGTATTGCTGTGGTAGACGGATTGTTGAAGAAACTGTCAAGCTCTGTGCTGTCTGCAGAGAAGGCAGTCACCGTTGATTTATCCCCCATTTTACCAGCAGATGCTAAAAAACCGAAAAACGTGAGCCGTTAAAGGCTTCAAATGCGGCCGCTCTCCTGTCGTTGGCGATTAAATAAGGTACTCAAATATTCAAGCTAGTTAGTGATCGCGTAAATTAGGTTTATGCATAACCCCCTTCGACGAAATCCTTTCGTCTGAAGATTTTTTTTTTTTGTTTTTGCAGCGTTGGATGATAATTGTTTTGATAGTTTCCCAGTTCTCAGAAAAGGAAACAAAAGTAAATAGCCTTTGGAGAAAAATTACAATTTTTATTCGTTTGTTTTAATCAAGTGTTTGTGATTGAAGACAAAACTACATTGTATTACAAATTATATTGTGTCCCGTCAGAACGTTAAGAGCCCAGCAGGTGCATCATGATCATCTTCATAACCTGATTCACGTAACCTTTTCCATTCTTTCCTTTTTTGTTGAAGAATTGGAAATTACTTAATAAAACAGTAAAAGAAACGGCAGATCTAGTTGTAAACAAAAACAAGGCTTTATTTAAACCTTTAACTCACACGAATGAGAATTAATAAAAGCTATTTTAGAGCGACTTTGCGACAACATAACATTACATTACTTTCTGTAAACACAAAAAAGCTTGACAAAGAATTGACAATGATTTATTCCCTGAGGAATAAATGTTTTTATTGCCATTATTTTTTGCAACAAAATAGAGTACATGTTCTATGAATGCGGACTGAAAGACTGAACTTTGATGCCTATCATTTTATGTTTGATAAAAATCAATAAACTGTATGTACATTAAATGTAAATAAATGTTTTCTCTCGAAAAGAATTATCCACATAAAGAGGACAAACAGATTTTCCATTATTTTGAGCACCAGTTTGGAAATCGGTACGCTCTTTAACTTAGCAGGGATTTTGTTGATTGTCATCCCGGCCAGTTCGATTATAATCTTAAATAATCGAGTGGATTTTCGAACAATTGTCACCGAATGAATTCACCTGCTGGTCAAGAACATCGTGCTGGCTTCTTCGCAGGGTGGTTCGGAAACTTCAATGACTTCTAATCAACACTTAAGATAAGCGAGAATGCTTATGGAAACTGACAAATTACCGTGTGTGTGTATTACTGCATTTTCGAAGGTATAAAACTGTTGTCAAATGTTTGCAACTTATTCTCTCTTAGGAAACGGAAAGTATGGCCCAGTTGATAAACATATCTCTCAAACGAAGCTCAACTCCGGAAGCAGTTTTTACCTAAATCAAACCACAAATCATAAATGTTAACGCTTAAATATTCACGCTTCAACACGACCACGCCACCCACCCAAGTCATCACATTTTGCATTTCGATACAGTATAGGGCCACTATAAAATCATAACTGTCACAAATTCATGAGTAAGAGTTTTGACTCGATCGGTTTGGCCGCGTTTCAGAGAAGGAAGTTATATGAATTTACGCTTGTTTTATTTGGTCTATCTCTCAAGAAAAACTGATATATATCCTTTGTCGATATCTCATCATGTCAATGTAATTAAATTTCAAGTGGCGATTCATAAATAAATGGTGCAAAACCCAGTGATATCAGATCCAGAGTTAAACATCCCCTCAAAAGCCAGGTACTATTTCATATTAAAGGAAAGGGGAAAACAGAAACTGAAAAATCTTCATGCAAGCCAAGAAGACTGAAAAAATGATCGTGCTAACCCAGTCCATAGAAACACTCTTGATTCTTAGGTAGTGTGTGTTCCTTTTCCGGTCGAACAAACTAAATAATCCGGTATCCTTTGGCAAAACTGAGAAATCCGTCCAATCATGCATCCTGTGATAATCCAACTCAAAGACCTTTGACAGAAACGCCGAATGATGTTTGCTTAACTTGCCTTGCCAGGGATCTTTACACCACCAAATGCAACAGGGCCCTTCTGACTACAGTCAGTATACCTTTTGAGAGTTTATTTATAAGAATTTTGCAAGAAAGAGCTACGACAACAAGTGATTCTTTCAAACTCTTTTTTTTCATAAACTTAGAAGAATCATTATTAAAAGTCATGAAAACCACTTATTTGATGCCCAGAATGTTGGAAATTCAGTTTATTTCCTAGGATCTCTGCTTAGTCCTCAATAGATCTGAAAGGGAGTTTTAAGGCCCCTTTTTCATTACCTTTACCGAGTATTGAAATTTAAATTCGTGCGTCTCAGCAAGTAAAGACAAAAATAGCTCTTACAGTATGTAATCTGCGATTTTTAACATTTTGGGAGAAATCTGAATTGATGAATGCCTATGTTAGGATGTAAACCGACGTCATGCCGGGCCGAAGAAAAAAAATTCGGTGCCTGCCTCTTAGCCTGTGTACAGACGCCCCCTCCCCTAAAAAAATCGCTGGGGTGAGAGACTCTCTCTCCCTCCCTCTCCCCCTGATTTTTTTTTTTTGAGGAGAGGGGCATCTGCACACAGGCTAATTATGCCGAAGGCATTTCGCACTCTCTTGTGCAAAACTCACACTGAGTACCAACGTCACCTTGAAAGATACGAACACCGGATGCAAGTTACGAGTGAAAGTTGAATTTAAAATATGGATGATGCTTTGTTAACACATTGTACTCCTGATTGCATGTATTTGAGATATATGAATGATGATTTGCGAATGCGCACTGTTGAATTATAGAAGTTGAATATTGGACTGTAAACGCAAGCATATATTCAAAGCAACAAAGTTTCAAACAAAATTTTAAAAAAATTAAAAGCTTGCGTGTCATATTCTACTAGTCTGCTAGAGGTAACTATCTTTTTGGGAGGAATCCATAATGCGCATAATGCGATCTTATTCAAAGGGATGTTTTATCAAAACATCTTTTGATAGCGGATGAGACTATTTGCCCTTTAGAACACGACAAACGTTGTTGGCTCAACACAAGCCTTCTACAAGGAGACCTCAACACTGCGGTTAGCATTAGATCCTATTATGGCTCTTGCCCCAACCTAACAAAAGAACCTAACCAGTTTCGAAACAGTGCTTAACCCTCATCAGTAAAGGCAGTACTTAACCCTAATCTGTAAAACGCAGTGCTTAACCCTAATCAGTAAAGGCAGTGCTTAACCCTAACCTGTAGAACGCAGTGCTTAACCCTAATCCAAAACGACAAGGAATACTACGTTGTGTAAACTGCATAAGGTGTCCAAGGGCCTTTCGACAGATGTTAAAAAGTGCTGCCGTACGAGATCGGTCAACACTGACAAAGATTGACAAAGAACGGTCTTGGGACGAATTGACACGAGGAAAGTTCAACTTTCCAGTTCACGCAACGACTCGGCGTCCGTAATGAAATGGCCTTCTTCACAGTGGGGAATGAAGATGGAAACAAATGGAAAAGAAGGGAAAGTGGGGACAAGAGATTACCGGGAAAAACAGGTGTAAACGGGAGTAAACACGATCGAAAACAGTTCTAAGTATGAAAAACAAAACATGAACCCTTTGTCCGCATTTATCATCGATATTTATGGATTCCTTTAAGTAATTTGTGACAAAAACTAGTCATGACAAATAGATTCAAACATATACGTCTGTGTTTCGTTTTTAGAACAATCGCTAATCTTTCGTCAGCGTTTTTTTTTACACATGACAGTTTCCACGTACACATGCGCAATCAAATTTGCACTGAGTAGGCTTGAGGAAATCGGAGCTAATGTTCCTTTTCCAAATTTGACACCCAAAAATACACTTTTCCTCCCTTAATAGGAGGGACGTTGAACCATGGCAAGTTCCACTGAAAATCCCTTCGCTGGAGACTCGAAAAATCCATTCGCCGTAAGTTATTATGACCGAAAGACCTTCCTCTTTCGTGACTTACTAACAGTTCGGGTTTTCCGAGACGAGTGACCAAGCTCGTTTAAACATTTCTCTTGTGTATTTCAGAATCCTTCAGAGGCCTCGCACACCAGTAATGCGGCGCCTGGAATTGAAGATTTTAGTCCCTTTGCAGAACAAAATACTTCACAAGCAAGCGGTGCTGCAAAGGTTCTTCATATATTTGTTTCTATTTCCCGTTTGTAGGTCTTTCGTACCACCAGTGATCATTAAATGATCATAGTGTAATAATGTACCTAAGCTCTCAAAAACACAGCAAATGTGCCTGCTAGGAATAATTGTCATCGTATACGCCTCTTTTGCATTGATTATAGTCTTGGTTTTGGAACTTCGAAATTAAGCTTTCGTAAAATAAGCATGCCTGAAATTATTTTGCCCCCTTTTTTTTCATTTTTACTCTTCCATATCTTTCTTCACTCAAATTTTGCTGAATATCTGTTATAATGATAAACTATATAGCCTAAATTATTCTAGAATAGAAAATGTGAACTTAACTAAACTAACTGTGAACGTGTGCTTCATTTAAGGTAACTTGATCGCAAATTGATAGAGATCTTTCGGTCTCTGGATTATTTTCTCAATAATATATCATATAGATTAAGGCCCCCAAGATCTATAGCAGATGCATCATATATATTGTGCCCATTGTTCGTTGAATCTAGATGATTAACCTATGTTCTATGGTACATGGTGGATGACATGTATCATACCTATTGAAGGGAAGCTGTTTTTTTAATATTATTTTGCAAAATACACCTGTTTGATAAATAAAGAAAGCGTTCAGTGTAAAACAGGGACTGCGGACGGCCGACCACCGACTTTGGAGTGGGTATCAAACGTGGACTAGGCCGAGAAAGCTCTCATGAAGGATAAAAATGTTACCGATTTTTTGAGATTATGCTATCTCAACATTGCTTGTCTCAGAATAAATATTTCTTTAATCTTTATGAACTCCTCAAGCAATTAATGAATTCACTCTTTTGTAGAAAAACTCAAAGACAGATGTTTTTGTTGGTTTTTAGCCACTATATTAACAAAGGAAAATTTTGCAAAGAAACGTTAGTGTGTTTTTAAATGGTTATTGTGTTATATACCATTGTCAAAACCATTAAAAGAAAAGCCGAATACTTAACATCAACGGTTTTCAAGA